ATATTTATATATATAAATAAATGTTCTCAGCAATCTCAGGGTTGTTTTTAGTGCATTGCTGTAAAAAAATTAGTGCAGTTCTCATTAATGTTTAGCTCATAAGGAATAAGAATCTATACATCTGTTCAGTCTCTTCTTGCCACACCTGAAACCTTTGCACTGTTTCACCAAACTGAAGGTTTGTAGTCAATTTCTTTAAAATAAGGTGGATGAATTCCACACACTCTGTGACAAGACATGGCAATTTTTGGCAAAACAATTAGAAAAATATGAGGTGCTCTGATCTTAGAACTGAAAAGTTTGTTGATTTAAAGCATTACGCAATGCATAAACAAAATTTATAAACAAAAAGATATGTCTCAACAAATCTATCCTTCATGCAAATGTTTCTTCAGCAGCTAACAACTTAAAAAAATTTCTTACACTTGTTTATTTGGGGAAAGGGACTTAGACAAATCTGTATTTCAAGTCCTTTCCTACAATTGGACTGAAGGTTCATGTCCTGGGAGCTGCTTCTTCTGGACCCTTCTCTCTTCTGAACCGTTGGAGAAGGGGAAGTTTCAGTCTCACATTTACACTTCAGCCCCAAGTTCAAGGACTCCAGTTTCAACAACAGCAACATATTTATCTTCGATTTGAACCAGCAAGATTGTTTTATCTATATGGGACCGACTACTTGGATCTCTGCTGCAAGGCACCCAGCGGTGAATCACCTGGGGGGAAAAAAAAAGGATTAATAAACCTAAGTTCCATGGGGAAAGCTGCCATATCAAAGTTGTGGCTGATAACTCAAGACCCTTAGAAGGGAAAAGGAACAATAATATAAGTGCTATACTGACTTACTAATTTTTCAGTGACAGCATACACACAGATAAGCTACTCATTTAAGCCTTCCTGGAGATCTGCAGCTTACCTGAGAACAGCCAGCCTTTGATTTGAATTTCATCAGGAACAACTTGACCCAAATCAAAACCAAACAGTTCATGCAAAGTGAGTAACAATTGAAAAAAGTGTACATATACATATTTAGGATATTTTGATGCTCTAGCTGTAACAGTCTTAAAATACCTCAGGGTTTTGCAGCACACAATAGCACAGAACTGTAGTTTATCAGGAGTTAGGTGTAAACTACTATCTCCTTTAAGTCAAATCCCTTACCCTAAGTTTGTTCCCTACTCACTGTGAATTCAAGGTTGATCTTTTAAATTAAATTATTCAAAGGTAATTTAAAATGAAAAAATATTACAAAGAGGAAGGGTTTCAGAAACAGTGCTACAAACTACCATCCCATACTCCCTTGGATCTACAGAATTCAGGTACTTTGATCTGCTGTTTCCAAGGGTCCTGTCTGATACTGACTGTCAGAAGGTCCCTCTTCCATACAGGCCCTTGTACGACCAACTCTTTTCTCAGCTGCCTCCATAAAAGTACACCCTTAACTTCTGCGTGCCGTGAAGGAACCACAAGGATGCTCCAATAACACGGCTTTAAGCATTGCCAGCTCCACAGAAATAGAATTATCTCAAATTTGTCAGCTGGGGGAAGAGAAGCCTAAATTCAAGACAAGGTATGGTAAAAAGCAAACAAAATTTTGTTTGATTCAACAGCATAGTATTTAAGTGGTCTATTCAAGTCTGACTTCAAAGTCTGTCCAAATAAACTTTTTATGCTGCTGTATGAAGTGAGGCCAAGAACATTCTATCCCCAGACACAAAAAAAATTTCCCAGTGAAGTTCAACTACTACATCCTTGTTGTCCCACTTAAAATACAGGTGTCATTGAGATAGCTAAGGGCTGACTCCAAAGGCATCAATATCGTGGCTCCTTAAAAACTGTGTAGATGCACAAGTTGTACATAGATTATAACTATGTACTGCAACCATCCCCCCACACTCAGTTTTACCATCTGTTCTATTATGATTGGCATTTATTTGATGCCCATAAATTAATGATAACATGCAAAATGATGCCACTAGATAGTCAAAAGGTGATATGAATCTCTTGGGAGGAAAAGGGTTCTGCTGCATGCCAGTGTCAGGTACCAGAGAAAGATAATGTAGAGTATACCTTAATCTCAAAGTCGGGGAAAAAGCACCTACAATACAAAGAGGATTGCTAAATTTAATTTCCTGCAAGAGACTCTATATAATGTCTTTGTATATTATATATACACTGTATTGTATGCTCAGCAAAATAAAAAGCAAAGTTAGGAAAAATGCTTTTTCCTATGTAGTACAAAAGTTTTAAACAACTGAGAAAATGCAGCGCTCAAAAATTCACCCTTAGATGAGTATTAACTAAGGTTCATAACATCAGCATTAAGTCTAACACAACCTACTCCTCACTCATCACAACACTAAAATACATTTTGATACTTTACACAATTCAAGAACCCAGATAACGGAACACACACACCCCCTAGTGCAATGACTCCCAAACTTTTGTCATCATTCTATTCCTGAATCCCTATCTTATATCCCCATTCACAAAACCCAGACACAATGCGATTGTTTCCTTCATCTATTTTCTCTTTTTTCTTTTTTTTTTTTTAATTTTATTTTTTTTTTAAAACCATTTTCTTCCAATCCTTCCTTCACTTCTGCTTTTGACTAGCGCATCTTTCCCCATGATATACGCAACAGGAAAAAATCTATATGCCACTCAGAATGTGACCATAATTATGTGACCAAAACCATTATGTGACCACAATGTGACCAAAAGCATGCATTTGTCTGAAGCTGAACTTCATACCGACAGCACTGACATAAGTCTTTGGCTGGTGAACTGCTTGATGAGCAGCATCTCAGCAGGTAAGAATAACTTCTGACCGTTTGCAGAAAGGATTGCAGCTGCAGGATCAGAAAGGGAACACTGTCCCAAGAGCTAATAGCTTTACTGATACCAGTATGTTTAACCACAGGCAGCTGAAGCACGCAGTGGAAACTATGTCACCAAATCCTCTCCTCCTAATCACACATAGGATAATCTGGTGCTTTTCCTCTTTCTCCTTAGGTTAAAAGATGCTCTTCTAAAAAAACCTGCCAGTATGCTGCACCAAAAATAGATGAGAGGCATTCAGAACAGTAGCTTATGCTGACCTTCAAATCCTCTTGTTTTAATCTTTCTGTACCATCAAATCACCATACATGCCAGCATGCTGCAATTTGCAAAACACGCTCAAACTCCTGAAAAAGTGTCCAATGAAACCAGGCAACAGGACACGTTTCAATATAACCCTTTACATTCACTGTCTTTATGACATCTTGATCTGAAATAGCTAACGAGGAAATTCCAAAAGCATGACATTTAAACCCAACATAACTATGAATGTTTACAATAGCATTCTACTCCTAGGTGCTACCTTCAGGGTAACCCTACTATTTTAAGAGTGGAACGTCATCAACTATGATACAATTACTCATGGAAGGAATTTATTTCCAGGGCCCGCCCTTCACATACATATAACATCAAGGTAGACTTGGCGTACATTGTGTTACCAGCATATTGCCATTTGTTACCTGAAGCTTGCACACACATCCACAGTGATGTGGATGCAGACTCTCAAAGACAGTAAAATCCAGCCCCTGAATCCAATTTATAAATAATGCATCGAATTGAGGCAAATTCTTATAAACTGCCAGAACTGACATATTCCAAACGAAAATACAGTTGTATCACTGAACCAATGCAGATACAATGTTAGTGACTCTTCCCTTTTACTATTTATCACTGAGAGAACACTCACTGGAGCATCTTCATAGACACAAAGGTCTAAAAAACGTATGCCTCAGAAAAACCCCAAAAGCCTCAAAGACAGAGCTGGGGTTTTTCCCTTGTAAAGAGAGCCTAAACTGGGAGAGAAGTTTTCTAAGTAATGCAGTCATTTTTTATAAAACACAGACATAACACCCCTAGGGAAAAGGGAGACAGAGTTTCAAGTCATAGGCTTTTTGCAAGTTTCAGTTACAGCAGATTTCCTTCTTAAAGGAAAGTAAACACCTATCGTCTTATGTGGCTCTACTTTCATCAGAATTATTTAAACACAAATACTGTTAACCATTCAATTAAGGACTTGTTGGTAAATTGACCTCCTGTATTTGCTCCAGGATTGACAATTTAAGGAAAGGAAAATGAAGGTTGGATGAATGAGTGCAATGCCTGAGAATTCATGACAAGAGCTGTAAGAAGGCAAGAAAGGAGAAGCGGTTGACAACATTTGAATCATCATCCTGCATCTTTTTGATACAGTTACAGAAATATCTCTCTGCTTCAAATTAGGATTCTAGACCTGCTCTTCCAGCAAGAGTGACCTGAAGGACAGCTGCTTATCCAACCTACACGTATCTTTGGCCTTGGCATCTAGGCAGACTGCCACAGACTCAAGACACTGCCTTTTTTAAATGTAGCTTGTCAACTTCTAAGCAAAACTTACATGGCCTTCCATGCCTTCCTGAGGACTCCAGTCTTTCCAGCTGTTTCTTCCAGCTTTTAGCCGTATCACCTCATCTGGCCACTGCAGCTCTTTCCTTTTTGACACGTTGATCCCTTCCAGTACTTGACTGGGATCCATTAACTATAAGTAGGAATTGAGTTTTGACTGTTAGTTCAGCCAAAATTTAAAAGAAACAGATAAACTGTAACCTTTTGAATACTTCCAGAGAACTGACTTAAACCCACAGAAATTGATTTCTGACTAATTTTGATGCTGGAAACTCAAGCTCCAGGCTAGCAAGAAGCCTGAACAGCACAGAATTTGGAAATAAGGCTGTGGTGTCAGACACAGCTGACAATACACCAGTTCACTGCTGTCTGAAGCAGGAGCTCTGGTTCCCCTTCCCACCCTTCTTCGGTTGTTACTGGCTCACAGCAGGGTCTAAGGAGCTGGCACAACATAAGCGTTGGCAGCACACAGTCCAGTAGCAGGGAAGAGTGATGACGAGCTGTTAAAACTGGCTCATCACTTCTTACAGAATATTGTAAGAAACATGGTCTTGGAGAATTAACTGTCAGGCTGAAGAACTATTTATCTACTAGCATGGTTAGTTGCGACCCACCCCGTGTTTTGAAGTAAACTGGCCTTTCCACAGGGGCAGCAGGAGAAAACTCCTGAAAACGTCTTCCTATTTAAGGACAAAGAGAACCATATAATGTCTACTATCCGAGGACACATGTCAACTTTGCCTGCATCCTCCTCACACAGAGGAATTAAGCAGTTTCATAAAAGGGCCCTTGCCTGCAAACAGAAACTACTAAAAGCACAGACCTGTAAAATTAGTTAGTTAACTTTTCCCACTATGATGCAGTTTAAGTTTACTAAGGATTACTCTAAAATGACATGGTATTAGCAACAAAATCATGGTTTTTATGATCTAGTCTATTAAATACACTTCTTGATGTTTCCCACCAATATACTGCCAAAGACACGTACGTGGGGCCAAAAGCTAGAAGAGCAAGGACACAACTTACTGGATTTTCACAAAATGAGTAGCTGCCACGATTAACTTAGTCAATCGTGTACTGTTTGCTGCTCAGTAAACCCAGACTTATGGCAATAACCAAAGACTAAATATATATGAAAATTAATAAATTAATATGTATTTTTCAACTTAGTTCTGTAGAAAATCTAGTTGGTTTAAAAAAAAAAACAAAAAAAACCTAGTTGCTTTCTGTCCTGCAAATGAAGCTGTTTAGTCTCACATGTTGTAATGAATAAAGGCAAACTAAGTATGAAGTGGAACTGAGTTCAGCTGACATTCTCAAAGCTGCACTACAGAAAAATATATAAGTAATGTAAACAGGGATGTCTAAGCATGCAAGAAGGCTGGTTGTCCAGAAAACCTTTTCCTCACATTAGTTCTCCAAATGTAACTCCACAACCATTGTATACTGAGACATTCCAGACTCTATGTGTATCTAAAAGTAGCGATTTCAGCAACATACGAGGTAACGCTAACAAAAGCACACGGAAGCATAGGTTAACTTGTTCTTCTGGACTATTCACCTGGATTCTGTAAATAACGTCATCCTTTTTGGCTTGCATTTGATTTGCAGGGCTTGCATTACCAACTGACTGAGTTTCAGTTGAGTTACTCCCTCCTTCTGTCCCTAGAAAGCCCACAAGGGCATGCTGTTTACAGGCTGGGATGCTTTGGCTGGAGCTGCTAGAAGAGGGCAGTCCATGCTGCGCGCTGACCCCAGTCTGGCCAGTAGGTTCCATTTGGTTCACCATAGAGAGGCGGGACTGGATGGATGATGGGAGGTTACGAAGGGATATCTGACTGGTGGAAGAGCGCCGACAAGGCACAAAGCCTGCTGTGGATGTGCGAAGAGATGAATGACGACTGCCGTAGCAATAAGATGAATGGCTAGCTACTGATGCACGGGCGGGGGAATGTCTGACAAGGCTTGACTGCACAGAGTGAGAGCTGTGACTGGTGCCTAAAAGTAAAAGATACAGAATCAGGAGAGTTTGATAAAGCCTCCCACACACATTAGATTTCCGACACACAAATGTTTTTTAGTGCTTAGATACAAAATTGATGGGTCTAATCAACATCATCTGAAACAGCTGTACTGCAGAAGATCTCCGTTGGATTTCATAAAGCAGAGCATTTGAATACATTCCATTCATCTTACCTTGGCATGTCACATTCTGTTCAATTCACAATCCCTGTAAGACAAGCAGCTTGAAAAACACTTCAGCCTTGCTCTTCCTGCATTACCATTTTGTTTCTTAATATTAAGTTTTCCATACTTAAAGCATTAAGGCCGGTAGAGGTGTCCATGTTTCAAAACACTACATATTCTTTCTTAATCTGCTTGACTGGATGTTCAAAGACTGAGTCAGAAAATTTGTTAGAGCAAAATCTGTCTTTAAACAAATTCAGAAAAATTTAATGCACTTAAAGTGAAAACCAGGAATTGCCGTTTATGAGCACTGGTGTCATTGCTCTTCCTATACTAGGTATTTGTAGATACCTCTCCACAGCTGATAGACGTAATTATGTTGTGCAAAAAAAAAAGTTAATTCAACTACATACACTTTTATATTCTTTGTGAGTAAACGCAGTGTTTGGAAAGCTTTTTCTCAGCTTTACTGTTTATCACCTCCCTAACTACAGATCACTCGGGACTCTTGGATAAGATCCATATAAAATACAAAGACATTCACAAAAAATGCCAAGTTTGCAAGAAGTAAAAAGATCCAATCTGTAGAGATGTGTTATAAAAAGTTATTTCATCTATTTTTCCAGCACAACTATACCCCCATTGCTCAAATCTCTGTTTGGGAACCTTGCATTGCATAAAACAGCACTCTAGTTTGACATTAATCCAGCAGATGTTAACACTACATAATCAGGTCACTTCTGTTTGCTTTTTAACTTAGGCCTGATCCAAAGAGCTGAAAGGACAGTTCTGGCTATAGGATTGTACTTGTATAAAAATTGTTGCTTTAACTTTACCCAGAGTGGAGGGATGAGCTGGTGGATGAGCTGCAGGAAGAGTTGCAGGATGAGCTGCAACAGGAGGGTGCTGTACTGCTCCTGGTCCCTGCCCGGTAATTGCATTCCCTCCTCCTTGCGACATGCTGCTCTGCGACTCATTGATAGTTGCATTGTTACTTGTGCCAGAAGCTCCACCTCCAGCATCTGAATCTTCAATATTTCCTCCACTATTGCAGCCGGCTCCACAACCTTTCCTTAGTCTGAAAACATAATGTAATTGACTCATTAAGTCAGGCCTCCTAATCATCAAGATTCTAAGAAATGCCTTATGATGACAAGCAAAAGGCTTTACTCAGCACAAACCACAGCATTCCCTAAAATCAGATAAAACGTTACTTATTTTCTCACAATATGCTTTGCAAATGTAAATGCTGCTTTCTAAGAGACTGCAATTTTCTTCATGGCAGCTATTTATGATAAGCCAAATGCTCACATAAAACAGCTTTTGAAAAATCAAGCCACCTCTTAAGTACAATAAGGTGATAAAGTTCTAAACAGAAATGCTGGTAGAACATCCTGGTTGCTGTGTAAGTTTAGTAAAATTTATGCTCCTTAATACACCAGTCATATGTATACTTACACTGCAAAATGTCTGTCTATTCATATGAGCAGGAAAAGAATGTTTGTTAGGGTTTTGTGGTTTTTTTCCTTTTTAATGTATTTGGTTTCTTGTTACCTTCAGTAATGTACTCACAGTTGTTTGAAGCACATATTGCAATTACTTGAATCACAAATATTCATGTGAATTTTGACAGACAGTAGGTTAGCCAACATTTTCCAGTGTACACACAGGCTTTTCACCACATTGTTTGCATTAATAAACTTCAGGTGGACACAAAAAAAACACAACATATTCCTCCTCCCTTCAACTCCTACTTTTAATAATAATTCTTTCCTTTCTGTTGCACTCGAATACACCAAGCACTCCTTTCCAATTTTATTTGCCCTTGGGATACAGAATCCCAAAGCATATGATGCTCAGATCCAGATACTGTTCTGCGTCGTACTTCCACCTTTTATTCTATCCATGCGTCAGACAAGCAGATGGCGAGAGAAGACAAACAGCCCAGACTGCAGTAAGTGTGGCATATTCCGGGGTGAAGCAGCACATTCTCTTTTGATGTGGTGTAGATGTCAAAGTGTGAATCAGCCACAGGACTGTTCCAACTGTGGCACCAGCTCCTGGAACTGGTAGTATTAGAACACGCATTTCTGAATGCCACGCACACTGTTGCTTTTGGAGCCACAGTTATAAGGGGCCAGAAGTGCAGTAAAAGTTCTCATGGGGTATAAAACACAGCACAGCAAGCGTTTGCACTGGGTTACTGAGGGGTCATGTGCAAGGAGGATTATATTATCACTCCAGTTACTTGTTCTGGCTCTGACATACAGGGTCTTTATAAGCACTCATGAAATTCTGAATAACAGCTAAAGCTTGTGTTACTATCTATGAGCATACCCTAACTACTGCATGCTAAATGTCTGCCAGACAGGAACCCTACCAAATAGTCCTGATTCTGTAAAGATGGTATTATAGACTGCAAAAGAGATGGTACTGAAAAAAGTACAGAAGTTGCATCGTCTCTCATTATCAGACCTGACATTAGAACTGAAGTTGTAGTTCCTGCATCTAGACTTTGTCCTGTTTTTTCTGACCTCTCATTTACATAGTTTGTGAGGTATTACTTATATGCTTTAAAGATTAACCCTGTACCAATGCAGTTGCCATATGCCACAGATGTGCCTGAAATAAATGTCAAGGCTTATTTATTTTTATGTGACTGGATATTACAAATTATGCTGTGTTGGGCATGCATAAGACTATTTAAGAGAATACGAGAGCTGGAACACGTACTAATGAGAACTCATTTCCTCAGCTCACCTGTGCCATGTGGAGACTATGAAGTTTCTAATGTTTCCTAAGCTGATAGCTCCCCCGAGAATCTCCTTAAGCTGTTCATGACTATCCGAATAGGAAGTAGTCAAAGGTGAGACGTAGATTGGGTACCCAATGGGCTGGTCACAAGAGGAGTTGATCATGTTCCTCAGAGCTTGTTTTGCATTTTGAATACTTCCTCTTTCTGGATTACGATTACGCAGGAAGACAAGCTCCTGCTGTTGTCCTGCCCACAGGCCACGCACACACTCCTTATTCACCTGCAAAAGCCAAGCAGAAAGGCTGTGTCAGAAAGTGAAAAAACAAGAGTGTGTGATGACTGCTTTGCTATCCCTAGGGCTTCACAGGTGTATGTAATATTGCACTGCAGAACTGCGAGCATTCGCATTCCCTTCTTTGAAAGGCTGAACTTAGGGACACAGGCTGCAACAGTGAGAATAAAGCAAATTTAAGAACAGGATGAGAAATAAGATATTTTAAGTCAGGAAACGATTTTCTGATTAAATACTCCCACTATATGAGAAGCAGCAGCCCTAGCAATGACAGAACAGTAACAAGAAAGTAATGAGTTGAGTTGAAGTAGCAGTTTGGTATAGTTATTAAAATATACCATAGCATACTGTCACGTCATGGAACGTACACAAAGCTTACCTTAATGACCCTGAAACTGAGATACCGCTTATTCAGCATAATGATTTTATATTCATTGGTGCCATCATCCATCACGTGACGCAGAGCAAGGAGGGAGGGAGAATTGGAAAGAACTGCGCTCCGCCAAGCAGGGTCCCCTTCATGTGCTATAACTAGATTTTCTTCGTGGGTTGTTATGGCTTCGTAAAGGACAGAAGGATCGTCATATTCATCTGGAGAAGTGAAGTGATCCTGTTTCCAAGAACACATGTTCAGTAAGACATGATTAACATTTCAGACATAATTACATATAGAAATCACAAGAGTTAGTGCATTATACAGAATTAGATAACAAAAATATCAGATATCTACTAAAGAACATTGTTAAAGACCTCTTTTCCAACAGATTAGTTCCATTTGTTTGCGTTTGCTTCTTTTTTTAACTTAAAACCAAAATTATTGGAAGGACCCGCCTACTATTGATTCAAGTAAATTTCTAGTTGAATTTTACACTAGATTTATATCTACTTATATTGCCTGCAAAAGCATTTTCGTTTTAGCTTCTTTGCTTATTCACAAGTCTCCCAACTGTAAAACACACTTAAGTAAAGCACTGATTATTCACTTAGACTGTATTATATGAAAATATGAAGAGGAGGAAAACCAATAAATTTTACCTGTAGTTTTTTATTAAAAAGTTCACATTAATACTTGATGACAGACTATTTCAGCATCAGATATTATGACACAACTTATATTATTGCCAGCCAAATAGAAACAAAATTTGCAAGTTCAATTCAGTATCAGGTCACATTACTTAAAGGATAGTGATTCATAGCTAAGTTTCCAACACTGGCTGAAGCCTCGATACGTTATTGTATATGTGAATAAAATCACCCTTTATAGATTAATGCAAAAATATAAATTTAAAAATCTTTTATTGTTAGAAATATTTGTATTTTTTTCACTTTTCATTCAAGTCCATTCTGCACAGTAACCCAAATAACTGAGACCTCTCCAGAATTGTTGAAGTGGTACTTCTCTTTTCAACAATGATTTTGTAATTATTCTACTTTGCTATATGTACTCCTAACACTTATTCTCCTAAATTCAGGGAGTCTGTGTTACATGAGTTGATTCCATCACTGCAAGTTTGGAGGACTTCTAAACTCTGCAATGAAGGCAAAAAACGCAACTTTATTATTAAAAAAGTACAACTAAGATTTGCCTACTTACTATGATTTTCAAGCAATCTGTTCTTCTACAGTATCATCACTTTCCCCCCCCCCCATCACAGAGCACTCATCACTCAGTATGTGCTTTCTTTTACTTGCTGAGCTTAGTTAATAGATGCACTGGACAGAATTTGAGATTGTTCATCTTCACCCTCACACCACTTTAAAGACTGACCCCAATTTCAGCTTATTGAAGAGTAACCTTCTCATTCTTACCGGAAACCTTACTGACAGCATCAATGAGTAAAACCAAAGTGTCTGTTACTACAACACTTCAAAGAAAAAAGAACAAGAAAAAAATGACTCCCACTGGACAGCTAGAGAGGGCTGTGCCACTTTGAACGGCATGATAACCTTTCAAGCCAATTGCGTATATGTGGGGAGGAGAAGAGGGAGAAAAAAATATCAGTAAGACTGTTCATTAGGGAATTATCTCTAGATGGATATGAAACAGGGCTTGACATGTTCTCTCATCCACATATGCTGTAACTTTCAAGCTCTGAGCATAAACTGCATTCCCTTTTCTTCTATATCACCTTCCAGATGAGCTATAATAGAACAAAGGACAGGACACGATACTCCCTCATTTTCAGTTGTCCATCTCTACCACGTGCCCTTGTGTTCTCTTCCTCTTTTTTCTCTCTCCCAGTCACTTATTTATAAAAGAATGAATGCACAAAAACAAAAAGAACTGAACACATCTTCCCGTGTAATCTCTCACCTGATGTAGTTTAAGTGACATCCGTATTCCAGGAACCACTACTTTCCTCAGCAATTCCATGTCAGCAAAGATCCACTCATCTCTAATTGAAGATATACGGAAGTCACCCTTAAATAGGGCATGCAGGCCATACAAGAAGGATTCCAGATTACTGTTAAGGTAAAAATAAATAAATAATTAAAAAATTAAAAAGACAAAAAAGGAAAAAAGAAAAAAAGAAGAAAACAGCCTGAATATTAACAGAAATATAAACATATTCATAATTATGATCACTTATCATCACTGACAAGAGCAGAAAATACTGAGCTGTACAGAAAGGCACACAATTCTTCTCTATAAAGATAACTTACAGGATAAGACAGAAAGAAAAGAACATATGAGTAAGGGTGTGTGTGTAAGCAAAACTTGGACAGTAAATGTCTATGTGAACCGAACGGGTAATACACCATACACACAACAGACTACTTACATGGACTAAAGTAAACATGAGCACTGTGAGGAATGCTTGACTTTATTCCGAAGATTTTCACAGAGTAAATTTTTCAGGGAATATAACACCACAACGGACCAGCTAACAAGGATATGTAGCTTCAGTTGTGCATGCTTTAGTACAGAATAAAAATTTGAACAACTTCCTCATGCCTAAAGGCATCATTTCCTTTTACTAAGCTAACTTAGGAACGAAAAACCAAATACACTTTGATTACTCTTGCAACTGCATATCTGCAAGACCTTCAGGGAACAATTGGCTGTCACTTAGAAGAATTAGTCAACAGTAGTGAAGCAGAACAGGTTTTACAGGTGGCACCCAGCTGACCAACAGCTACCACCTTTGATTATGCCTCTTTTTATTTGCTTTTTAAACCATCTCCTTGTGATTTCCTGAAACATACAACCCTATTTTACACTGGCTTTCTAAAGTAAGTTGAGGCTGCCAGTCTGCAAGAAAGAGGCTGCCATATGATGACAGAGTTGAGCCGAAGGAGATGAGTATGAAACACAACTGCTTGCCACAGAGCCAGCTAAACTGTGAAACTTATCACAACGGTCTGATCTAACTTCCATCAAGATGTATGTTCTTCATTTTAAGAAGTTGTCCTCTTCTTCCCCCTATTTCCATATAGGGCACACACCTAGAGCACGAAATGGAGCTTACTTTCAAAACTCAACCAGTTTTGTTTTTTTTTTTTTTTTCCATCAGTTATCACTGGTGCTTACCCACACCAGAATTCTCACCTTGCATTTGTTTGATAAAACAAAATGCTCGAATTCAAGTTCTCCCTCATTTGCTGTTCTTTGGTTACGTTTCACAGACTGGTATAACAAAGACAGGTTACACAGCATATCTGTCCAGTTTAAGGAAAGATGACATTAAATATCTCTTCTTTTTATGAAGAGCTACTCATCTAATACCTAACCTAGAAACCCTGAGGGATTTTGACAAAGGGTAGCTTACTTACAACAACTATTTTATTACCTAGACATATGATGTGAAGCTGTTCCCAGTGCTCTCCGCCCTAGAACACACAGTCCATAACACAATGTCACCAGGGGCGAGTCTTTACTTGAATCCAGTGGCTTGTAGTAACAAAAGAAAAAAGAAGAGTCAGGTGAAAAGAGTGTCACAGAAAAATGTTCTGCCAGAAGGAGTAAAAAGATCCAAGCACATACAAAGGTACACAAACTCGAGTGTGCATATGTACCTACCACACCAGTCACTCTTGCTCAGACTTCCAAAAGGAATTCTTTTTTTTAAAACTTTTGCAAGTATGTAGAATAGATGTAAAGGCAGACACACACATACTGTATTTGCAGTAAGACAAATTGCAAGCTGAACAGACGCATGCAACATTCCTCATGGATACTGTGTATGCAATTTGCTGATCAGCAAAATTATGGAGTTAAGATAGAAGTATTCTAGTGAATAAAGTGGATTCTCACTAACCAGTTAGGGGTATATAATTCTGAGTTAACTGAAAACTTCCCTGGATTACAGCTTTATTTGGGGAAAACTCGTCCCCAGCTCAAAGCCACTAATAGGGTATACAATGCTCTAGATAACAGCATCATGCATTTAAGTAACTAAACCTTATTTTCAATACCTACACAATATTTCACAAGATCATGACTTGGAGGGAAACAGTTTTCTCTGGCTGTTGTTTGTCATTTGACTGCAGAACGCTTTAAATCTTACACCAGTTAAAATGGGCTCCTAATTAATCTTTTACCTCCAAAGTAAAGCTGAACTCCGAAGTCTCACATCCTTCATTAAGCATATAAATTCCAATTATATTCCTGTCCCCTTAATCTCAGTTAATTTCTGTGTACTCTCAAAGGCAATGCTACTTCAGACTATACCACATACAGGTTGGTTTGTACACAGTAAGGGGTGAAGGCATTCCTCTACAAACATACTAATGTTTCTATTCAAACAGTAGAAGGATTTGGAGAGAGGAAAGGGGTTGAATATGGCATGATCATGTGCACAAGCCAACAATTACAGTGGTCCAAAGGAGTGGTACAGTATGACCAGTAAGAAAGAAGCAGTCAGTCTTATAAGCTGGCAACAGGTATTTGAGGGGTTTTTGTTTTGGATTTTTTTAAGTTAGGGTGGATTTGTAAACACTGACATCTAAGCACAAAACGTAATTCTATAAACATACCCCTCTGTATGCAGATAAATGCCTAAGATTCAACTGATTTGAGCTGGTAACTGAAAATTCATTAACGAACAGGTCAAATCATACACTACTTACAGAATTTATTAAAATTCACATCTCAAGAGCAGAAGATCAAACCCAGTAAACTATAAATTAATATTTCAATTATAAATCTTAATTTTAAAATAATCAATAGTAAATCATGCTGTAAGTGAAATCAACACTGGGGGAAAAAAATGAGGCCATCTTAGAATAGTGAAAGGCTTTCCTCATATGTTCATACTTACCTTTTCTCTTCGAGAGCAGCAATATTCTATCCAGTTCAAATATATCATACAGAAACTCTCTCTTGAGATCCCTGCTAGACGGTGGTCATAATCCTCATCAATATTGGGGTTAAATGTTGGGTCTACATCAACATAATTGCGGTCTGTGCACAACCGCAGACCTTCCTGCATTGTCTCATTAGCTAACCATTCCTCTAGCTTGGGGGATGTTGTGACATAATAGATGATTCCCTGAAACAGTAGTAGTTAAAAATGAGAGTCAGTATTGCAGTAAAAAAAAAAGTCAATCTCAATTGTTCCAACTTATTTGCATCATTTGCCTGTAACAAACAAAACTGATACACAGCGGCATTTATTTAGCTCATAGACACAATAAATTTACACAGAAAACACAACACAGGTTTGCATATAGGCACATTTTTCAAAGACTGTCAAGATTTCTGAAGCATGCACTGAAGGAATAAGGAAAGGAAAAAAAAAGGATGGGACAGGACTCTCACTGTAATTTTGCAGAAACACAAACAAACCATAGTAATTTTTATCTAGTTAACATGGAGACTTAGATATTGAATTTCTAAAGAATTAAAATGCTGAATAAAAGACAAGACAGTTTAACACCCTTGCGTTGGGGAAAAAACCCAACAACTTCTGTGTGAGTGTGTGCGTATAATATCTTGGAAATACTTCAATCTGAAGTTTTTTAGCTCTCTGAAAGACAGTAGGTTATGAAAGATCTTGATTAGTAAGCTGATTACCTACAGTCCTCTTTAAAACTGCAGGGCTTAAGGGAAAAAAAAAAAAAAAAAAACACCAAACCAAACAAAAAAACCACCACACCACCACAAAACAAAACAAGAAAACACAGAAGATGGGTTTGGACAGCTTTTAAACACCAAAGCAGCTTGGCTTTCTCCCAGAGAAAGACATTATTTATTTACCTTTTCATTTACAACACAGTTATTACATTTGAGTAACAGCTTTCAAGTTTCTACTGCAGCTTCAGCTAGAAAGTGTCCCCTCTGTTCTAGACTGCAGGGTCATTGTCCTGCTCATGCACGAGAGTACCAAGTAATCATCAGTACAGCAAACTTCGACAAAGGTGTTCATACATCTATAATTTGTATCACGTTCTATGATCCTCATATGAAAGACATTAGACACTCAAGACATTAAGCAGTTCTCAGATGTCATCCAGCCTACCTCCCCCCAAGGGTTGTACTGATCTGAATCATACCTTCACATAGTAAGTGGTGAGAATTTTCCGGAGATCAAAGACTTGAAGCATGGAAGCTGCACTGTTGTCAGTGATGCTATAACCCTCCAGAACATACTTTGTCACAAGCACTTCCCAAGCTAGCCAGCGCTGCCCAAAAGCAGCGTTAAAGGAAAGCATGTGAGGAAGGTGGCCCGGTTCACAGCAACAAAAGCCTTCATCTTCCTCTACACCTTCAGTGATGGCCTCTACTTCTCGTTGCTGGCAATAAGTTCCTTAGGAGAAAATAGAGAAAAGAAGAAACAGTTGAACACTTTATGTTGACTTTTGTCTAAAAGTGTTTCGAATCCAACCCATCTCCAATTACACCTCTGTAACACCAAGTGAACTACCTACCAATGGACACAAAAGATTTGGATAGCTTAATTTATCACTCTAGGATCACATTTTAGTTAGGTGTCTCTAAGAATCAATTAGGGTAACCATGTTTCACTAAAACAGAAAGAGAGAGTAAGCATCAACTCTGCTAGAGCAAGCTAGTTTTCCTTCCAAGTGACAAGGGCATAACGAGGCCCTGCAGTCCATTTTCAAAACAATTAATTTACAGGATGGAACTGAAACTAATTCGAAGTTTCTAAAGCAGAAGTGCACTTTTTAGCACAGACAGTTAAGGAAGTGTTAACACACTCACCTCTGAATTCAAGCCCCCTCAGCTGGAAGGTGACCAAGCCATTTCCTATCTCTATAAGGTGTACTAGTGCATTGAGGTAGTCAGAGGCTAGGATGAAGCAGTCCCCAGTACTATAGTTGCCCCACCGACCCAACAACAGGTCTCCACATAGGCTGTGCTGAAGGGAACGGGTTAAATGTTCATAGAAGATTGAATTCAGGTTGTTATCATCTGAACCTACAGAAAGATTGGATTTGGGTTATTATCTGAATCTGCAGAAAAACATCAAGCTTGAATGTCAATTATCGTGTCACACTGAATCCTACACTTCCAACGGCAATGTCGTTTCAAGTTCATTCTCCACCCTGCCGCCCTTTTTTTAAGGGACAACTACTCCAAATTAATGTTAAGTAAGATTTAGTATTTTTGACCACATTTTTTCCCTTCCTAGTCACTCCTCCGTTTTCCAAATTATTCCTTCAGTTCCACTCATGCATCCCCCATCAGTCTATTCCACATAACAAAGCACAAAAGAAAATGAGCACAGGAGTATCTCAGTAATGACTGTCATACTAGTCTCATCATCATGACATTAAGGCATCCTCAAATAATGTTTGTCTTTTTTTAATTACTTAAGAGGAATAAAAAGCAAAACAGCTCAATAAATCCTATAAATATAGATAAAGAAGTAAAGCAGACACACAAAAAAGGGGAAACAAGAAAAGCTTAGAATCTAAAGAATAAAGCAAGAGAGATGATGGAGGAGAAAGTAACAGTAAAAAGTAACAACAGAAAGGCTGGGCAGGGTTTGAGAAGATCAGAGGGCAAACTGATCATGAATCTCATAAAAATCCTATGAAAGCCACTTGTATTTGAAAAAACTGCCACTATCCAAAAAACAAAAAACCCACCAAAAACAGACTAGGAAGGTTACCTGGATTTCGATCAAGCTGCGAAGCCAGTCTTGTATTTGAATGATCCACACGCTTTGTGCTGAAAATAATAAAATAAAGAATACTCAACATAAAATTTATTACTCTAAGAAAATCTGAGGGAAGGAACTATTAACTGAATAAAAATTGTTACAAAATATTCCCACTGAAATAGTTTCAAAAAGTAATTTTAGAATAATTTTACATGCAAATGCACTGCTCTTCTCATATGCAAAAGTATATTCTGCCTATAACAGCATTATGTTCCAATACCTAATAAAGTTTGTCCACAGTAGGCAGCCATAGAATAATATTCAGCTTTAGATATAAGTGTATATATTTTCTCAGACAGATATCATAAAGCTTTAGATGTGACAAGTCAACTTAAATCAGCACAGCTAACATTCTAGTAGACTTCAATGAAAGGGCAATTTTCAGAAAGTTGTCATTTCATTGGCTGAAATTACAAGCTTAACTCTTCAACGTATATATTTGGGACATTCTGTTTAAACTGTTCTATTGTTAGAAGGGAGAAAAAGCAATAAAGCAGTGAAATGAAAAATTAATTCTCCACAAATATCAGAACTATCCACTCATCTTGCCCTGTGCTGTTTATCTAACAACCCACTGGTCTGATCATCCATCAATCGCGGACTTTGGAGAAATAAAACACAGGGAGGTATAATCTGACATAAGAATCTCTTACTACTGATTCCACCTTGATCAAAAAAGATTTACTTTGAAGATTTTTTATATTCAGGCTAGCCAGTTTTAGCTCTGAAATGAGCAATAAAGAACACAGGTCAAATACAGTTATGAACTGCCCCCCCCAAACCTTTTTGTACCTAAATTTGCTTTCTGATTAAACTTGTGTTTTACAATGGTATAATTTTTGTGTTTAAAATAATTACCGGGATGGCATACCTCTAAGTAGAGATTACCTAAGAAGCTAAAGCAAATGTTCCTAGGATAAAAACCAGCTGCTGCAGTATTTCAGAAGCAAGTTCATTGAAAACTTGCAGTGCCATAAACTAGTTTTCTCTGGGGAAAAAAAAATAGCAGCACTTGGGAGGAAGAAAAAAAACACACAGACACACCAAAAAACCCAAACCAACACTTTTAGCCATAGTTACATTACTAAAAACAAAGGACAGAAATTTTAAAGGTCTTATTTCACCTACTTGTAGTCTCTTTCCCAGAATTTGACAGGCCTGGCATATGAAGTGATGAATATTGCACTTCCCAGAAAAGGATTCAGTGGAGTAGAGAAGAAAGCTGACACAGCTGCTTGGACAAACAACATTGCAGAATCTGCAGAATAACAGAATTAAGGAAAGCAAAGCAACAACTACTTTTTTCCAAGCTTCTGTGATAGTACCTGAAACAGACAGCAACACCAATTAAAAGGAAAATAAGATCTCTGAGAATTTTTATGCAGAGAAGTATCTTCACAGTATCTCCAGCAACAAGGAGATTGTTTTTGTTTTTAAAAACAGATAGAGGTGAAAATTTGGCACTAGACATGGTGGTCATTCTCATTCTCAAAATTCTACAGAGAATATACTAACTCAGCACTCCATTCAAACCAGTCTACAGAAGCTTAAAATGCAAAACTCAAAAACTAAAATCAGTTAGTGACTCTTGAAAAAGGGAATGAGTGTCAGAAGAAAAGCTGTGTCATTTTCAGAATGAAGTAATTCCTGCTCTATGTTTTGTTTATGTCAGAATCCTATTCCTACTCCATCTGCTACCATATTATTTGTAGCATTGCAGCAAGGCAGAAAGTGTGCACAGTTTTTCATAAACACTCACCAGACAAACCTGTTCATACAGTAGAGTTAGCCCATACTACACAATCCATTATAACACACCATTCGGAAGTTTTAAATACACGACTTCAGGAAAAGGTTTGCATTTTCAAAGGATACGTGGCACAGCAAAGGGCTGGGCAAATGCATGGAAGGCTGATCCCCACGTGATCTGCCAGGGAGCAATGTAGGTATATACAAATCTCAATTTATAAAAGAGTTCCCAAAGCTACAGGGGGAAAAAAAAAAAAAAAAGAAAAAAAATAGATAAGAGAAATGTAGTGATTTGGTTAAGAATCAACATGCTCTGCAGTACAATAATATCCTGAGGAACTTACTGGTCACCCTAGAGCCTAGAGTTCTTACTGGTCTACCAGAACCCTTGAGACTTACAAAAAGGATGTAATAATGAAGCAAGTAAAATAATAAGCGCTTCATTGTTCTACTAACAGAAACTCATGAGATGTTTAGAAAGTTACATATGCTTTCTCAAGCAAACATCAGTGCTTTGGGAAGGAGAAGTCTCAGCTGTCTTTTAGCATATTGACTACAGTACTCATAGGTAAGCTTCCAGATCATCAGTCCTTTCAGTCAGGACTATCTGTTTTCCCTTTTGGATAACCTGAAACACCTAGAAATAGAGAGTTAAAGTTACCTTGCTGAAGAGTATGGACATGAAGAAGAGATCTAGCAGCATGGTCTCAGTAAAACTTTTGTAATCAAAAGTAAAGAAGAGCACTGTGAAAATAACAGTGACGTACTGGCACGTTGGGCTACTGAATGATGAACGCAGTAACTTCAAGCCAGCTATTGTGATCATTAAAGCACCCAACCTGTATAAGAAATTCACACAGAACAGTTACTTATCTGCTGTCTGAAAGTAGTTTAAAGCCTCCCTAAATTGTCTGTCCGGGCTTCAGCAGGGTTTTAAAACCACTACACTGTCATGCGATGCCAAACTCTTCAAACTCAAGGTTTAGATTTGGGTTTGCCTTTGGAGTTTGGGTGTGTGTGGGTCTGGTTTGGTTTGATGTTTTTTTAAAAACAACTTCAGATTTCTTTTTTTAAAGGTTACTATTCAAGTATTTCTATCAGTATTCTCAAGCCAACCAATGCTCAAGGATTAGCATTATTTGTAAGAGTCTTGCAAACAAACCAACCCCACCACAACCCAGAGATGAAATATCCTTGTACTCTGCACAGAGAACTGGTATTTAATTTAGGTTATGAATACTGACATGCAAAAATGCTAGAAGTGCTCTAGGTTAATCAGCAAGAGGATGTTAATGAACACTGGATTATCATTATTTCCTGCATGACTGCACTGCTCTAGCTTATATTGGGGGAACTGCAACTTAATGATAAACTTACAGGGATATTCTTTTTCAGAGACTGTAACAGAGATCAAGGGGTTATAAAAATAACATTAAAATAACATAATGACAATGTTCCTCCCAAAGGTCTTGTAGTGACGAGAGTAATGAACCCAAAGCAAGAACTTATTAGATACAGGGATTATTAAACTTAAAACAAGTAAACCCACACCCAAAAAATCCAACACCTCTCCCAAATACATATTCCATTTTGTTTCAAGATTTGTTTTCTCTACAATGCTTTTGTTCTAAATCAGTAGAACTTCAAATCTAAAAAAGCCACCTGGTCACTGTTCTTGGAGGCAAAAACTGCAGGGCCCATTACTGAACTCTCATTTGCTGAGACAATCAGATACACTGCTTGAGGGATTATAACTGAGGCTCAATTTAAGAGGCAGTGTGCAATTCCATCTGGATACAGATTACACTTAGGGGCTGAAAGGCATGGGCAATTACTTGATGAGAGCAGAAAGCTGTAGAGGGGCTGCAAGCTGGCACACCAACTCAGGGAACATTACATAAGTCTTAAGTTTACACCTGACAAAATACCAAAACATGTTGTCACTATCTTGGAACTTGCAGTCCGGATAATCATATTATAGACGCTGATGATCAACAAGGAAATTCTGATATCATACTACTAGATAATTCTAGTACTCTGGTGACTTGGTTCTGTAAGAGCTTTCAAATAAAGAAAAACTTTATTTTTTCCTTGCCTTAGCTTTAAGACAATAACACTGACTGTCTTCCCATTGAGGCCAGAACTCACTATTTAATTTCCCCCCATAGCAGACATACTCAGATTACTCGATAGCCTTTTATACTTACTCAGTATCCAGTTTCTTTGGACTAGCAATATTCTTAGCGCTGCTACTAAGCTCATTGAGGACTATCAGTGGATAGATAACATTCTTCTCTACAAAAAGGAGCCAAATGTGAAGTTTCTCAAACCACATAACATGTGCAGCACCTATCAAGATATATTAAAAAGAAGAAATCAGATATCACTGTTAAATCAAACTCGGCGAACAGAATAAAGACTCTTGAACCCAGTAATCCGTGGAGCCAAACACTAACTGTACTCTTACACTGGCCTTTCATAGTTTTATCTAGTTGAAATAAAGAGAAGCTCCTTGTAAGCTACTATTGGTAGCCCCAGTGGAGTTTTTGCTCTGTTACACATCTATACGAAATGTATTACAATATAACAGTTTGCAAACTACTTGCTTACTGCACGTGGCAGGAAATAAACTGGCTTGCAACCTCTTCAAAAATTTAAACATTGATACTGATGAAGCTGTTTGACATGATGCATTATCTAACGCAAAAGGATGCTTTCCAACCATATCTGAACTGAACAATTTCTGGTTTACAACTCCACAATGCAGAAGAACACATGTAACCTACCAAGACAAACGTCTGAGATTTAAGAACTCCTTCTGAACTTTGACAATAATTGCAAAATATGTAACAGGATTGCTATGTTTCAAATTAATGCAAATGAAGATAATAAGAAAATGTATTTTGCAAGGCAATACAAATATAGGCTGGAAGAACCTATGCCAAAAGTTATGTTAAACATTGCTGCATATCTAAGGGGTTAAAGGTATACCTGAAAGAGGCTAGAAAAAGGCCCACCCCTCTTCACTGCTATAGATGACTGTACATGCCTTCTACAACAGAAGCCGTAAGGACAACTAGTCATTGACACGACACGAATTCTCTCCAAGTTACAGGGACCAAACTGGGAGATGCTACAGAGCTACATTTAACACAACTGGATACGACTCTCATCTTTCCTGAAAAGACTACTACATAAGGAAATAATGAAGTCAGGTATCAGCCAAAGGGCACCAACTGTAGCTTCTCTAGTTACGTAGATTTAAAATCTAAGGCATACAGTTGCACTTTTCACTTCTTCCTCCAAACAGAATTTGGCATCATGTTACAATTACTATTCATATTTATCCCTCTTTACACCCAACCACTCCAAAAAAGTCCACAATCTAGACACCAGTGAAAAAAAATCACACTGTATAGCTGCTACAAAGGTAGGAAGTTTGCAAATCAATTCTGATAATTCTCTGCTCCTGAAAGCAGCAGAATGCTCACTTTCTTTTCATTAATGTCTTACCTTGAAAACTATCTGAAGAGAAAAAGCACAATAGCTTCTAAGCCATTTTTGACAGAAATTTCTCAAGTCTGCCATTAACAATAAAAACACTTCAACAGTGAAGACCACACAATCTACTGCTACATTTGTCCACCCTGGAAAACTGATCAGCAGTATGACTAACTTCATACTTTCTGCAGCTTCCAGGGAAATATTTCCCAGGAACGTAGCCTTTAACACCAGGTGCAAGTGCGTGTCTATGCAGATCAACCAGCAAGACTGGTTCCTTAGTGTGTTTTTCCATTAGCGGCCCACTTGCACTACTTTCTCTTGATAAACATGTCCACAATACCATTAAGAATCAAATCCATGCCAAAATGAAGTCTCCAACAGCATTTGCCATACCTAATAACTTCAACATTTGAAAACTTACTATCTCGATGAAATACCTAGTGAAACACAGTCTACCTTTATAAAAAAAATCATTAAGGCAACCATTAGCACAAACTGCAACTTAAGATTTTGAAGACTGCGCTTCAATGGAACTCCTCTGAGATAATGTTAGCACATGTAATATATTATCATCATCAGTTAAAAGACACATAAAACGTCACGGAATCAAAGCATGAGGAACTGAGAAACTAAGACATTTCTAGATCAGCTGTCATTAAATACTCCAGTAATAAAGAAAAGAGAGTAAGTGTATCAATAGGTAACGCAAGTCGGTCAGCAACTACAGCAAGTTCAAAAAAGTGTCATGAACAATACTTACTTCGGACTTCAAACTGATAGTATTCCTTGGTTTTCAGCAGCGGGTGAGAAAAGCAATGCCAAGGAAGTTGCTTTCGGAGTTGAGGCAGAACATAATGGGTCACAAAGCCTACTGTACCCACCAATGCATAGAGAACATAACTTAAAATGGGCTAAAAAGAAGAATTGAAGAAATTAAGGTTCGTGTTTTACAAACAAAATCATACACTAATAATGTAATACCCTTTCCAGCATCTAGGCAGGCACTTCTGTAATAGTAACTCGGGAATGTATTTCTTCACAAGAAGCTGCATTATCAACTTTAAGATCAAACAAGAAATGCCTATGAGAGAATAAACCATCTATTTCTAACAAATTTTCACTAAGTTGAGAAGCATCTCAAGGCAAATAGCACACCAATCTTCCTTTATAGTCCATTGCTTCTGACCCAACTGCATTTCATTTTATAAATGATAAAGCCATTACCCTCTAAAGGCTGAACCCAATTCACTTTCTGATTTGATGAATAAAAGGAGGTATAAGCATAAGGAAAAACAAATAATTAATCTTACTTTCTCTTGAAAAGGTGAATAAAAGCTTCCCATCAAGACCAAACTCTTTCACAGAAGTCAAAATACTGCTCTATTAACATAGTACGATGACTGAATTTCACAGTAATGCTTTCTATACATTGAAATTTTCTCCAGATTTCTAGATATGTCATAGTAAAAGTAGGATTGCTTTATCTTTTTGTAAGCTCTTGATTCAGAAACTCTGTGAAGCCTGAACTATACAACTGGTGAAGAGCATATAGTCAAGTTTCTCAAACATGGGAGAAGGCAACATTTGGGAGGAGTGCTGAAGTCCAGCCATACAATAGAAGAGATATTTTCCTTAGGAAAAAAACTACCATATCTGCTTAAGTAGGACACTTCACCTGAAAACCTGAAGCTACCTAAACGCACATGCTTTTTAAAATTAGTTTCTTACTTTAACTGTAGACAGCAGCAGGAGGGTAAAATCCATCCAAAATACATACAAGAAGCTTTCATTTGCCTGATATTAGGCTGTCCATAAGCCAACCAATGGTTCCATTACAGGAATATCAAAGTAAGAAATTCAGCAACTGCAACTCTTTAGGCAAATGCCTTTACTTAAACAAATTAAAGCACAGGATCTGGTCCCATGTCACCACCATCAAGCAAGAGTCACATATACACATTAAAAATATCCAAAACAGTATAATATTAGCTAGACTAATATGTACTATGTCACACTATATATTTAAAGACTATCTACAACTAGTCAGGAGACCCAGTGCACTGCCAGAAGTATTTGTATATACAAGACAAACAGCAGACATGACGGAACAGCTTACCTGTAAAACTGTAAATACTGTACTGACGTGAATTGCAAAATAGAGTACACCGATGACTATACACACAATCAGGTCAGACTGCAATCGTTCACTCTGGAGAGTCAAAACAAAATAATTTTAGAAAAATACTAGCTTGGTGTGTCCTCTTCAGATTCTTAATGTTCATCAGCCATAACACTGAAACTGATTAAATATTTTCAAATTATGCCAGTGTTAATTACTTCCATTGAAGTTATCAGGAATTTCACATGATAAATCTTCTGGCTAAGAGCATTAGCTCACATAAGTTAAGTGGAAAGATGCATACACAAAATGAGGCAGGATAAATTAATACACCCAATATATTGTCTCTTGCATTCTGGACTATGAGGGAGTATAAGGAGCTCCCCAGAGCACTGATCAGAGAGCTGGAAGGGCTAACCAAATTTCCCATTCGTGACCTGGAAATTGCTTAGACTATGGGGCAATTAAGAGCTCTGGAAGACAGATGCCTAGAGCTAAGGACCAGGCAGACCAACTAGGTTAAACTAGGGTTTAACCCTTTTTCCTCATCCAGAAAGGTAAAGGACAGCTTTGGAATGACCCCGAGGAATAAGTCTGAATTTTCCATTACCCCTAAAAAAAATTAAGACAAGCTGTTGACAACAGGCAAAAAAAAAAAACCAAAACAAAAACAAAATGAGTAATGCCAGACTGAGTCACAAGGGGGCAATACGCACTTAGGGCCACTACAGCTCAGAGTCTCCAAATTTAGACCTGTTCCCACTCTGTAAATACAGTATTAATATTTTCAGCCCAGAAAAATCATTAAAGGATTAACTGCTCCAAAATCGGCCAAATAATTACACACAGCTATTCTTGCCGCAAGGTCTTAACTTCTTAGGATACTACTTTTTTTTTTTTTTTCTTACATCAGTAAGTCCTGATTTAAAAAACACACAAAAAAAGAATGTATCACAATCCTTAGCTCCCCAGCCCTCTTGGTGACTAACAACACAGTTTGAGAGCTAAAGAGGAGCTCACAACTCCTACAGTCATTCTCTCCTGTTAAGCATTAAAAGAATTGCAGTTTCTCTGCTCTACTTGCTTGCAGTTTACACACGCCGCATCTTGTCACACTTGTGCCTGCTGTACTAGGAGAAACTCATCTATACTGTTATTCCCTTACAGCCAAACCCTACACAAGATTAAATGGATGTTCAACCTTCTTTTGTAGAATTTAAACATACTAAGCTTCTTAAGTCTTTTACTTAGTGCTCCACCATGTGAAAAAAACAATATTTAAATATTACTACTTTCATAAATATTTAGAGTGAATCTGTACAAAAAATTCAAAGCATGTGCCAAAGTAAATGGAAGAGGTTACATCTGCTCTTTAAGGAAAAAGAAAAAACCACAAACCATAAAAAACCCTTCAACACTTTCCATCATTTTTATTTTCTGCTTCCGGAACACCATGCACAAAGCTCTTGCTCACAATTATTAGAAATACTGAGTTAATATTGTTTTGCTGCCATTAACTCTTTCACTTCTGCACAAAAGTAAGAATCATTTATTATTATCAATATGAGCAAGAAGAAAATCCTCAATGATATTTCACTGAATTTACACTAGGGAATGCCAATTCTCTCACATAATTCCTTTTAAACAATATAAAATTATACATGCAATATAAAATTATACTCTTAGTGCAGTACATCGGTTCATCTGCAGATTTAAAGGAAACACTGATATCCATTCTAATCAAGACCATGGTAATTAACAAGTGTTGTAAGCTAAGTAAGATCCAGACTGATGCTAGACAAACCAACACAACGTAAGTTCTTAGACTGGATTAAAAAAAAAAATAATTAAAAAGCCTACTTACCACAGAATTTCTAAGCTTTTCAGGTAAAGGATCTTTTACTTCAGACAGAGGATCCTCAGGGTTTTTGTCTTCAGAATTAGGAAAAAATTTTGATTGCACTAAAGAGCTTAAAGACGACAAAAAAAAGAACCCACTGAAAAGCATGCATTGTTCTAAGTGGTTTTAGAAGAATAACAAAGTCAAAAGTTCTATTACAAGTTGATTACAAGAAAAAAAATAATCCTAGCATACTAGTGCTTTCACAAGGCTGAGCAAATTTAGAAAGACGAGATCTCAACTCCATAAAAGAATTAGTTCTCTGGTTGAACACTGAGTACCATTAAAGACGAGTAGCCAGATGCTCAAACAAGCAGTTTCTCCAGTACCAACAGGAGTAACAGAATAGATGCTGAATTTTAAGTGGAGTTCTTAGTACTCATGAAACAGAACTTTAGTTCATAAATAACTGAACAGAAATGTAACCTGATGTAAAGCTTAATAGAGGTCTATTTGTCTACACCAACTAGAAAACCAAGAATTCCTTGGTTTAATTCAAACTTCAACAGCAACAACAAAAAAACCTATCCTACCCTGATTAATTCATTAATTAGCCATGCTGACCAAACTACTAAATTCTTATCAGACCTTGCTGGTACTAATGGCCAACAAAATTATACCTAAGCTTTTAGAAGATCATATGCAGCTCTACTAGCCATACCTAAGTGTCTTGCAACCCCTCAATGGGATGTTTCTCACAATACTCTATGCAGTACAGAAATTTCATTTTACAGACATGAAGCTCACTACAGAATGAGCTCTAGGTCTTCAAAGGCAATTACATATTGCAATGCATTGCAATGCTTAACTGTGCCACGTCTGGCTAAACAGGTGAACCTGCAGGCCAAGCATAAGCATCCAGGCTCTAGTACTTGGAAAGAACAAAAGAACAGGTTTCTAGGGACAAGGACCTCATACCAACTGGGTAAAGTCACCTGAACTACGAGCAACAGGACAAGGTTTAGTTGTCAACCCGAGTGTGTGAACACTCACAAATCATTAATCTCCCTGTCCACAGAAGAGGCCCCTCACCATCAACCCCAGACTACTGCTTGTCAAATACACCCAACATTATGGCTAAATTTAAATCCAAGTTCAAGCTCTGCCTAACCCAGGTATATGACTGAGCCTCTATTAGCTATTCTGTGGGAGGCATTTCTCCTACTGGAACTATTTGGTTTTACACACATAATTATTAACTGAATCAGAAATATTCTTATCATCAGATTGATACTCCAACTCAGAAAAGCAATATGAATACATGTTTCCCCATGCTAGATGGGAACACCCATCACCAAAACAGATCTTTATTGTTTTGCATTTGAGATTAAATTATTTGAACAAGTGCTTTGAGTACATATTCAAGATAAGAACACAGTAACAAATTTAGTCAGAGAAACAGTTAAAAAAAATCCACACGTGGTCTTCAACCTAAACTAGTGCTTTGAGCACCTCTTTAAACACAGAACGGGTACAGGCTGTTCAGCACAAATGCACCAGCAGAAAGATGGCACCTGACTGGCATTTTGGAGGACATCAGCAGGCAGTTAGATCAGATTTTGGCATATAAGTGATCGGCCAGAAGTCACAAAGAAAGGTTGTTGTTAGAGGAGGAACTAGGTGCAAAATTTGGGAGTTTCTCTCGTAACTACCCAGCCAATATCTTATTGGTTTTGTTAATGCTGATGACTACCAGTCCAAACAGTAATAATGTGTAACATCATTCAAAATGTTCCCTTGCAACTTGCTTATTCCTTGGGGAAGGGACACAAACTGAGTCACTTACAAAAGTACAGAAGGGTCACTACTTTGTCTGCTGAGATGATACGATATTGCCACTAACAAACCACAAAATATGGAGAAGAGGACTGGAATATGCTGCCCATCCCAAGAATCCTGGAGACAGAAATGAAATGTTAATAAAAAGGAGACAAAGTATAACATTTATCTGACATAGAAGAATTATGTATATCACAGACAATGGAAAAACTAACTACAATTCCACAAAAATGAAACAGGACTTTTAGTACAAAAATATTGTTCCATGTTTACCTATGTCTAAGTATAGATCAGAAACTCTTAGTATACATCCTTTAAGCCTACACCATCTTAATCATTAACGTCATCAGTTTTCATAACCCTTATGAAAAATTTCCTGCATTCCTTGCGACCACAGGTTCTTACAGTTGCATTTAGTCACTTCTTAATCTTGAAAGTTACATATGTTTTTACTCAGATTTTTTTTTTCTAATGTGCTGAATTCAGATTAAACCACTGGTTTTATTTTTGTTTTCATGATCTGTACTGGATCTGCAGAGATGACACAGAGATCACAGAGATTCCTTGCTAAAGCTTGTGTATCTTTAACAGATGTGTTTGCAAAAGGCTAATGAGACAAATGTACAAATTCACAGAAAGCTAGTGATGTTCTGCAGGTGATAGCATCATGGGAGTATTTCCTCTTTTTATCCTGTCAAAGTGGAAAAAAGCTAGCCAGCTCTGCATTGGAAGGTGCATATGCTGCAATTAATCATGAACTGAGAACATTTGATTATTGACACACACCTGAAACCAACAAACAGGACCAAAACCACACTGTTTTCAAACAGAACGACATTTCAGGCAAGAAAAAGCTGTTGGTTTTGGGTTCCCCCCGCCAGGCCCTGCTTTGCCAGCTAACTCTACCTTTTAGATAGGCACCCATCTCCACTTTGACACTTCAAACTAGTTCCTGGTTTCTTTTCAAGTAAAAATTAATTTGAAAATACTATTTCTGGTTTGCAGCACTGTAAAAAATACTCACATGAGCCATTTTGAGAGGTTAACAAACTAATACACAAAGACTGTGCTAGAAACAAGCTACTTAGATTATTTTTTTCAAGAACCAATTTAGAATGGAACTGACAATAAATGTCACACGTTTTTGGAAAAAAAAAAAATAGCCTGTTAGTGCAGGCACAAATCATACACCTCTGCTTTGTTCCTGCATGGCATCTTCTTTATTGACATCACAGCTGAGCAAGTATACAGCCCTATCAAATCAGACCAGTCTTTCTAACTCCTTTTTTTGCCTATTTAAGTATCTAAGATACCAGAAAGCAGAGAAAAAAACCCAAAACATTCACGTATGCCGTGTGTAAAATTTTGCTCACCTTCAGGGCACCATAGCACAGTCCGTACAACAATGCTACTGCCACAATACTACAGATAAAACTGTAAAGTGCTGCAAGCAGGCTTGTGGTAGCTGAATGTCATAGAAAAGAACGGAAAATTAAACAGTGTTATGTAGTTAGGTTAGAACACAAAATACTTCAGATTGTTTAAGACAGATAAAACCCCCTAGTTGCAACACCTCTCTGATACAAAAAAAAACCCCAACCCACAGTAACTACCTGTATTTTCCCTTACAAATTATTATTTTAAAGAGCAATTTAGGTGGTTTTATTTACCTCCTCATTTATTCAACAGCATTACCGTGGGAATGGTTAACAACTGCAACTGAAACTAGTCAAGGAAGAAAGCATACTTTTTGACAGACTTACTAGGACAGTAGTTCTATTTCTCAATAATCAACCAGAAGACCTTTAGCCTTTTTAAAAACATAATTAGTATTCTATGTTTAGAGGGTAGGAATACAAATAGTGTAATCACTGACTTTTTCAACTAGCCTAATCTGATCACAGAGTCACAGAATGGTTAGGGCTGGAAAGGACCTTAGAGATCATCTAGTTCCAACCCCCTGCCATGGCAGGGACACATCCCCCTAGACCAGGTTACGTCCCACTAGACCTGACGGCTACTCCTCATCTAATGCTTTTGCCACTGACATAAAAATCACCACTCACCATTGCCACCGAAGACATGAATATCCAGCTGTTCACAGAGATACATCACAAATGTATTCACCTGAGGCAGGAGACCAATGAAGAATACTATAGGGAAACATAGTGTAAACACTATGGAAGAAAAAAATAGTTGAAAAATTTGTGAATATGAAAAACACAGCATAGTAATGTACTCTTCAGTTTAAGTTCTATGGTATCACAAATGCCATTTAACTCATCATCACTGCAGTATTTCTACTGTTATTTCTAAGGAAAACATCCATTATGTAACCCTATCTCTACTTCAATGACTCAGAACTGACTGAATATAGAGGTTACATAGACCAATAGTCAGAAAATTTCTTGTACTTCTGTTTTAATCACTGTAGAAATGGATACATGCCAATTCAGGCTTTCCATTTTTATTTAGCAAATATCAGCCAAGAGTGTTTACAGATCAGAAAATGTCTAAGTTTTTACTCATCGTAAATGAGGCTTATCCGAGCCTAACTGCCTGTTTGGCATTACAGGAGCAAGCTAACACCAACCACAGGGACATAAGAGAGGCCAAGCATTTCACCTCTGGGTTTTCTGCCACTAATAATGTCTGACAATTTCACTCATTTTCCCACACCACTTCTGAAAAGGTCTGATCCTAAATTACTTTATTTTTTTAGCTAAAATGGGTAACTGTACAAACCATTAAAACCTCTGCAAATTACAGGACTTCAGAATGCAAAGATAAATGAATGCCACTTAATTTTAATACAGATAATTATATGTCCCAACCTGTACATATAATTTACTTTCTGTCTTAAGGAATAAAAGATGCAGAAATAACAATCTTTTACACAACTGTTAAGTAGTTCAGATATAATTCACAAGCAGCAGCATATCATAAATACTATGGTCTGAGGGATAGAAGGATCAAACCACGACAATAACCCTAGCAGACAAAATCTGACAGTTTAGGGAGGATTTTCTACAACCTTACTGACTTGTAGTTTAAGTGACCAAAAGAAGAAACCAATTTTACAGTATCCTGTAAAGAATCATAAGTCCCAATTTTAAGTTTCTAACTTCATATCCACATAATGGTTGGCTACTAAAGGACATCACATTAGAAATATCTACAGTGAGATAGGTACTGAGAATCTATTTTTTTTCCTACTCCTTGGTAAAGTTAAATAACTAAACATTGTTTAAAAAGATGTAGGTTCAGGGCTTTTTAAAAACATTGCATTCTGCAACTTTTTCCCAATAAAAATAATGAAATAAGACTAAGAACCAGCTACTCAGGACCTGAAGAAAACATTTTTCTGAATTTTCAAGTCAAACCTGTATCCCAAATCACTGCTCAAGGAATCCTACATAGGAGGCAAACAAAGTGTTCTCTCACTGACAGGTTAAAAAGTTGTTTCACGAAGGCCTGCAAGTTGAACTACCTTGGGTCCACTGAAAACAAAACTACAAAATAGGCCTGGGAATACAACATTCACAAAGAGTAGTCCATCAAAAAGCCACCATTTCTGATGGCTTTTAAAGTCCATAACAGAATTGCCCTGTAATGGGGACCAGTGAGGTGAAAACAGAAAATTGTTATAAACTTGGGAGCACATTTAGACCAATTGATCAAGTCCAATATGTGGGACACAAAATAAATTAATAAAAAAATTAATACCAGTCCTCACTTGTCTGTTGGCAAGGGCACAGCAATTATGTTATCTAAACACAAAGTTTGCCTTGTCCTGCACCTGTGTTGTTCTAGTAGTTATGACTGGGAATGGGAAAAAAGGCAGCTGAGATTTCTACTTTGTGCTAACAGAGTATGTTTCCTAGCAGCCAGCTTTCTTTGCAACACACACAAAGCTTTCTGAAACAGTGCTTCAGCAACCTTAAGAGTTGCTCCAAAGGCAAGGGGGTGTGCAGCCGAGGGGGAGGCAGGCTTTTATTTTGGTTTGGTTTTTTAAGAAGTGAGAGCTGTTCTGGCAATCTGACTTTTTATTGAGAGAACTGATAAGAAATACAAATCACATAAACTGGCGCAAGATACCCGAGAAGAACAGTAGAACATAAAGGTCAAAAAGCATTCACAGCTAGCTCTTGAACTCCGAAATTTTAAAAGCTAATCCCAAAATGGACACAGACTAGTGACTATGCCAGGATGTCTTTTTAAAACCGGAAAAGACTCTTAAGTACTTTTAAAAAGTAGGTCACCTTCACAATACTACACACCACCTACATATACCTTTATATATCACCTTATGGGACTATGAGTATATATTATGGCAATAACTCAAGATGATAAGACAGGGAAGAAAATAATTCTGAAATTGACAGAGCATAAACAAGGGGAAATGAAGCTAGTTTTATATCTTGGATGTGTCAAAAATATCTGCTGTCTTAACTTCTTTTTCCATTATAGATACAGAGTGAAGTATGCCAGTGCATTAATAGATCCATAGAACATGGAAAGCACCTTTAGAAATGTCTGGACAATACTCTGTTCATAAACAACCAACTTAGGCCTTTTCCTTCTAGACATTTAAATTTAAATACAGATTTACTAGCAGAAAGTTGAAGGGGGAAACAGTATGAGATATGAAATTCAGGATGCTCCTAAAATCAAGTAATAAAGACTAATTCCCAAAATGCCCGAGTCAGTAATTCTTATTAATTAACAGTAAAAAAAAAAAAAAACGAGAAGAATCATCGAAACAAAGACCAAGTTTTAATTTTTCTTGGACAGAAGGCTGTCCAAAAACTGGAGGCATGCAGTCATAACACTTAACTGTGCTGTAGTCTTTCATGTACAGATATTGCAGTACAGCTGAAGAGCAAGTGTGTTCGATTTAGATAAATTCTTACAGATTTTCTTTCACCTCTGAAGAGGTGATCCAGAGAGGATCACCCAAATAACTTTGCTCCGTTAAAGAATATGCACAAAGTTCCCATAATAAGATGGTCTTCAAATACGTATGTTCTCTCTCTCCTTTCTGTGGGTTCTGCCTGAGGTTACGTAGCTGTTACTATTTTCAATAAATTTTGTAAGTAAACAGGGGAAAGGTTAGTTGGGGCTTTTTTTTTGGAGGGGGGGAGGTCGTCATTTGGTTTTATTGGTTGGGTTTGAGGGGGGGATGGACGGGACAGGGCGGTGTTAAATGCCAGCAGTGCTGTGAATGCACTGCGCTGCTCAGAACACAATGAAAGTACCTCATGCAGCCCAAAATTATATTTTTGGTATTGCTAATAGACCTGTTCTGAGAAGAGACACATTAAATAAGATTAAATCTGTCTATAATGTTTTTAAAAAACATGTCCATACTGTTCTACTGGATTGCTAAATACAAATAACCTGATTTAAGATAACTCCTACTCATTTGCCACAAGCCTCTCTAGAGTACGAAAGTCCAAATTAAAGGATTTCTTTAACTACTGAGCAGCTAGGTCCAAGCACAGGGTAGCACATCCAGGTCCAATTTAAGAAGAACAAACAAAAGGTTCAGGGATGAGGACTAAGATTCTAGACAATTAAAAAGCTAAAAATATGGGGTTTTTCGTTGACATCTCTACAGTTTGGTACAGCAATGCTGCAGAAGGGGGAATTTTCCCCATAAACTTCAGCAAAGCTAAAGCTACTCTTTCCAAAGGAAACTAAATGAACAGCATTTAGAAAGCGATGATGCAAGAGTGTCATAACAAGATGCAGAGGGGAAAAAATAAATATTACTACTACAGTGAAGCAATTCAAATCCATGACAAAACCACTCACCTATAACTAAGTCCCTGGCTGAGAGCAGCAGTAAAGGGTTGGTGAAAGCCATTCCATACAACCTGAATCTTGTGGTAGATATGTTTCTGCTGCCATAGTCCAACAGCCAAATAAGACCACAACATAAACAGAAATATACAGGCCTACTATAGGCTATGATACGATTGTGACCCTGTTTAAAAAAAAAAAAAAGAACAATTTGTTTCATTAGCAGAAAAATTAACTGTTACTCTTCTGTTACAGCTAATTTCAGAACCAAACTTAATCATTGTTCACTAATTAACATACTGTCAACTCAGCACTTAAGTTTTGTGCATAAAATCCTTAATGCATTGCCTTGCAGTGATGTGTCTTTTTTCTTTGTGGCTTTGATATAACAAGGACACAACTATCAGATGAAGTTAGACTAAGCTATGTTTACTCTTATTCTCCACTAATTTTTCAAGTGCCAGAGAAACTGGCACTGTTTTTAAATGCCAGAGAAACTCTGACTAGGCTTCATAAGCAAGAGAGAATATATTAATTTTGAAGAAAAAGCAATTAAATTTCATTACACAGATACTGCTCCTGCTGGAAAAAAAAATATATCTGTATTCGTGTGTTCATGAAAGCGTACAACTTATTACTTAAAATAATATGATGACTTGCTGCAGAGGAATAATGCTTTTTCATATCTTCTTTAGGACACAGCAAAAATACTTTGTCTTAGCAACCTAGCAGATGCACAATAGAATAGAAACGTATTGTGCAACACCAGCACATTAACATTTCCGTGCTCAAATGTTAATGCTCACTAGAGCATTGCACACTCAACTTAATAGAATGATAAAAAATAAGGCTGTGTGCATGCTAGGACAACTGAATCATCTACAAGACCAGAACAGAACATCAAACCTGTGTCAGTTCATACCAGCACAGCAAATTACATTTAGAATATTTCTCAGTATAATTGCTTGAATACTAAAGATTCATCAAAGAACCTATCATGATATGGCTCTATAGCAAAAGTTAGGCTTAAAACAGGGAGGATGTGGTTTGCTAAATACAAACAAAGCATATGTGGGGGAAAAAATAATATCAGTTCCCTTCTCATACACTAAGACAACATAAGCCTCTTGTGCCTTATGAGAAGGCACATAAGAGAAATGCTGACAAGATCAAACCAAAAAGGTCAACTCTCTGTGGAAGTTCTACATCTGCAGAGTTAGCACAGTGGCACATGCCCGTAACTTACATGTCGAGGGGAAGAAGAATCTGGCTGAACACTCTGAAACCAAAATGGAAAAAGGAAAGTTAGCCAATCCGTAAGTAAGTGCATTTACCTCTCCCACCCCACCACTTGCTTGATTAAAGTTCCTTTAACAATATCTACAATTAATTTTACAATTGTCAAGCTACTCTACAGGCTTTAAATAGCACAACGTATTAAATCATAAAATCTGTTTAAAGAGTGTATATCTATAGACAAAGTTTTTTAAAAAAGTCATATTTTTAGAACTTTTACTTTTTAAATACAAAATACATTATGCACTTTAAATCAAATTTCCACCCTAATAATCTAATCAGAAGGAAATAAGCAATCACTCTTAAATTACAAAAATACCATTAACAATTGTCTAATAAAAACTAAGATGCTGATTAAAGATATGCTTAGATATAATTGCTTAATATGAATGCAGCGATGTGTATCCACTAAAAAAACCACAATAAAAAATCAAATTTAGTTTGTAGGCTGTTTTCAACCAGTAAGAACGTGTTCATCTCTGGGAAAACAAAAAGTGCATGAGAACAACAAATAAAAGGCTGTTTAACAAACATACACAGAACAAGTCTAGCGAAGTGACCTTGTATGACCATCTATCAAACTTTCCATGAAGCTGAAGTTTACTCATTTCTTTTTAAATGATAAACATGCAGTTTTTTCCTTAAAGCTCTAACTAACCTGCAACACCCAACTGAAGTTATTCCTATTGTTTACAGAAAGTGAAGACAGAAATTAAATACCTTCAACAGCGAGTACTGACAACTGGCTATTACCAGGCAGAACTGGAAGACCCAAATATCCTTGAAAAAGCCCTCTATAAGAAGTACAGAGCCCAGAAATGCAACTAGAATAGCTAGGATGACAGCTAACACGTTTTCAAGGATCTCACGATTCCTGTATTAGAGGGAGAGAAAAAAAAATTAAAAGCTAACTATGTGTAGGAAAAGCTGCAAGGGAACAGTTAAGATCAGAACTTAACAACAGTTATGCTGCTGGTAGCAAAGGAGTTAAGAATAGTTTTGAACTTGCATAGACTATGCTAGCGCACTGTCTTTTGGCAAAGCTAGTTGTTACCAGGATTTCAATGATAGCTGAAAGCAATTAGTATCTTATGGAATTGACCTTTAAACAGCAGAAGATAGCTTCAGCAGATAACTTCAGAAATAATTCAAATGCTCAACCAGAAGCATGGTCTGTAACACAAATCTACATTCAAGGCCCACACAGGACGATCACAAGCCTGTGAAAAATATATGCATGATAGCTTATGTATATAATCTGTCATTCATGATTTTGTAATGAAGAAAGTAAAAATACTCTCACTTGGCTAAGATATGCCAAGTGGAGTAAAGACAATTCCACATGATATTGGTAGTGCTTAGGAACAGAATTAACAGTATTTCTGCCTAGACAGAATCACTGCTATATTGTTTATCTCAAGGAAGTTCATGAACAAAATGTAAATACTCTATGTATTCCAAAAGCTGGTAACTGGGGGTCACCTTCATCTTATTCCACTGGGTAAATGCAGCAGGGACAACAGGTTACAGTATTAGATGACCTTTTGGAAAAAAAAATGCTTTGAAACAGCAGGTAAATTCTCTCTACTTGCTGAAATAACGTACATGTATGCCAAGTTCTAGACCCTTTCAATTAGTTTTATGGAAAAAGGTTATTTTCTAGCTTTAAAGATTAGCAACAAATCTCTCTTTGTGACCAAATATGTTCATTGCCCCACTCATGCAAAGTGATGCTTTTTCTCCTTTTTAGCATTGCTGGAGAAAAAGGGAGAATAGTCTCCATTACTGGTCCTCCCCCACAAGGACAGGCTGAGAGAGTTGGGGTTGTTCAGCCTGGAGAAGAGAAGGCTCCAGGGAGACCTTGTAGCAGCCTTCCAGTGCTGAAAGGGGGCTACAGGAGAGATGGGGAGGGACTTTTTAAAAGGGCATGGAGTGATGGGATGAGGGGTAATGGATTTAAATTGGAAGAGGGTAGATAGATGAGATATTAGAAAGAAATTCTTTACTCTGAGAGTGGTGAGGCAGTGGCCCAGGTTGCCCAGAGAAGCTGTGGATGCCCCATCCCTGGAGGGGTTCAAGGCCAGGATGAGGCTTTGAGCAACCTGGGCTAGGGGGAGGTGTCCCTGCCCGTGTCCCTTCCACCCCAAACCATTCTATGATTCTGTGATTTTAGAAAACCTGTGTTTTGTATTATTCTTTCATCTTTCAAAGGACAGTAAATAAGTACAGTTCTCTAAGAATAGCTTTATCTGTATCACTCACAGTTTAGTTAACCATTTTTCAATCTTTACTTTCTGAGGTCCAGAAACATACAAGGATCTCACCTATCAAATAAAGCCAGAAGAGTTAATCTATCAAAATTGATGCTAATCCAAATCTTAGGCAGGATCCAAAAGCGATAGTACTGCTTGACTTTTTGAGTTGCCTCCTCTTGAGGTTGCATGTGGTCCTGAAGGTCAGGGCTCAGGTCAATATCTTGCTGCTCCAGCAGATCTGTATCCATGGTTAGCAGCCTGTTCAACCTGATCTGAGGAAGAGAAAGCTAAAAGAAAGTCAGTATTAATGAAAGCTCATTTTTATTATATCACTGTATTCTACAAAAAACTGCTTCAGAAAAACCTGCTAGAACTATTTAGTTTCACCTTTAAGAATTTACATGTTAACCACTGTCAGTTCTGAGGCTTCTACTTACTTTTCCTGTCCTTATCATGGCAAATGAATAGCACCAGCAGCACTAATAGTTAGCATACAGCACAACTGCTTGGCTTTTTAGCATATGCCTTATTCCAAATGAAGTATGAACACGTCTTCCAAGCACATTATCCCATTTACCCTGAAAACTTCAAATTTGAAGGCAAGTAAACTGATATGTGAACAGGAACAACATATACTACAAGAATAACCTAATTCTGAATTTAAATAAAGTACAATACATTTCTTATAGTCAGCTAATCTGTATGCACACTCATGCCAAATGGTTGGTTTTGCATGGCAAAGCAACATATGCATGCATCAGTGGTCAAAGTCAAGCTCACTACATTTAGAATACTCTCAAACTAAAAAAAGCTCTGCCCTAACTAGTCCAGTACTAGTTATAACTGACTATATTTCTCACTTATTTTGTAGTTTGTCACTCTAGAGTGCTCTTAATATCACAGTAACAACCGTAAAGGACATTTAAGGAGAGCACTCAGGAGGTTAAAAAGTAAAGTTACTACAGTATGCATGTGTCATCTAGCCCACTTTATAAATTTCATTAACCAGCCAAGAAACATCTTAATGCACTGTCCTTTATTCTTAAACAGTATCATCATTAAAATGTAATTTAAAAGATTATGAAGATTTTTCATTAAAGCAAAGAATAAAATTTAAATACTGATGTCACCTTTAAGTGTCAAAATCTAGTTTGATTGGTTGGTTTTTTTTTTTTTTTTTTAATTAAAGTATAACATTTGATTTCTCGTTTTTTGAAAAAAAAAAATTATGTCTCTTTAAAGCACCAGTGTACTGTAACTATGCTCAGGCAGCTTTTCCTTCCTAGAAAAATACTACTAAAAACAACAAGCAGGAACACTCCCTTTCTAAAGGCATACAAAGCATACTAAGATAAGCTGTGTCAAAAAACTGGTGCTTTTTTGACAACTTTTTAAAACCTTGGTTTCTTCAAAAGGTAGAGGCACCATAACATAACATTTGTCACACTAATAATAAATTTCAGTGGAAATTTCCATTTAGGCAGATTTTTAAATATGAGTTTGCCTTAAAAAGAATCATTCCATCCAATGGGACCACACTGGCAAACCAACAGCACATAATGTAACCTCTTTCTTGAAGGCTGCATTACCAAAGGGGAGGAAAGCAAAGCAAGTTCCTCTAGCAGACACCAGGTTTGAAGAGCACATTGATCAAAAGCATGGTCAGGTAAATGGAAGTCTCTTGCTCCCTCTGTGCCAAATGCTGAGTCCATATTTAGTTTTTCCTTTTAGATCATTAGGTACTTCAATATACTTTATTTTGGTTTCGCAGCTTAAGAATCATGACCATCTACACTGTTTTCATGACACAGCAGTATCAGACTTGAGAATTAAGAGTACCGATATGTCTGGATGTGACAACAATATAAAAGGTTCAAAACTAATGAATTATAAAGTTATTTGCAGTATAAAACAGTGTAAGCCTCTACCTTTTTCTCCCCACTCACTCTTTGCATATGAATTAAAATTTTGTACAGCCAATTCCAACTACACATTTTTAAATTCCTTTCAGGGAAATTACTGAAGTTTCTCTTGGTGAGAATATGAAATTTACTCTTTCTGCTGCCTGCTAATCCTAGTAATGCACAGAAAGAAAACTCTGTCCAACTTGTTCAGTCATCTCTGGAACCTTTACAAGGCATCTCAGAACACCCAACTTCCATGAAATGTAGAAAATCACTATGCTTTAGATCAGAGGAAACCATTTATACTTAAGTTTTCAAGTGCCATGCAGAAAGATGAATTTATGTATATATGAGGACACTGCAACAATAAACAAATACTTTATCTTCGTTTAAACCCTGGCAAAAATCCTTCTTAAGAACAAAGAACTACCATACAGGACAATTCATCAGTGCTATAAAATTGGAAAGTCTTCTGATTTTTTGCATGCTTTACAAATAAATAAGAAAAACTTACTAGATCATGTGGATAAAAGCGAACTGAGGTAGAACTCGATACGTGAGAGTCCGTGTCACTACAAGAACAGGGGAAAGACTTCAGATTATAAAACTACATTTTATTTCAACCATTCTCATTTTCTACTGTCCCAAGTTAATTTTGAGTCCTTGCAAATTTTAGCTAAAAGTCTAAGTTTTCCTTCAATCACATATTTTAAACAAAAGTACCCACTTGGTCTTGTGTGTTGCAGTAAATTCTACAGGTAGAGTAAATCAAGAGACTCTTTACCCTTACCCTTGGTATAATTTTCCCAACACCTAGTCCCCAAGTTGTCTAACAAGGATCACCATGATAGTAATTATTCCACTTGAAAAAACAAAGATGTTTTATAGTCTGTTAGCTAATGATGTGTAAACACGCATCACATCTCTAAAAGACTATGTGGTCACACACAGAGTTTTTGTTAATTCTGTAGTGTTTTTACCAAGGTCCCAAAACGGCCAAAAATAGTACATACTTAACACGAGTCTAGTGAGCTACTTAATCTTGAATTGTTTCTGAAAAACTTAACTTTAAATAAACTTAATCCTCTGGTAAGAAGAGCAAAATCACTTTGCAACTTCCATTCATAGAGATAAGGAGAAATTTCTCTTACTGTATGAGAGTCCATATCCAACCATTTCTTTTTCCCCAATTTTGGATAGCTTTTGGATGTTTGTTTTGCATGTAAATCACATGGCTGTAAGACTTGTTTCAAATTTATGCAACTTCCCCTTAGTTCCTTGCCTTAAGATAAAAACATTTTTTGTTATCAATTTTACTTCACTGAAACTCAAGTATTCTCTAAAGCTGAGATCTGATTGTTTGTATGTGGCCAGTTTGTTCCTTCCATTAACACATGTAACTTCATAACAGCAGCCCTCAGCAAAGCCATTGCATCTGGAACATGCAAGCAGAAGAGGCAGGCATTGGCAGCTTTGTGCAAGGAACATAGAACTTTTTGTCAAAGTTCAACTCTACAAAAGGCACTTGCACACTCTCACAAGAAAGATTTGAAGATGGGAGCTTTTATATTCATTCCTCCATAACTCCAATAGCTATTCCACCTACACGTGGTGGGAATTTGTAGCATTCAGCATGACGCAATAGCTTCAGAGCAGTTCTATGTAGTGAAGTGGATTGCCCGGGGGTAGGGGTCACAGGAGGTTTTGGGTTGTTTTTCTTTCTTCTACCTGCTGTCCCTTCAGAGAAAGAAAGGGCATCTTTCCAACAGCAGATGAACTTTCCAGTATGTAGCTGGCTATTCCAACTGTAAGCCAAATTTTAACCTCAGGCATGTTAATACTTCCATGTATTGTTTCATGCCATCTATAACTTGAGAACAAATTTATCAGTTTACATTTGCTTCACAATTGGAAGTGCATTTGTAAGTAAGTTAATAACCATTATGGTCTTACCCCAAACCTGGGTTAAATCTTTTAAGAAAGACTTTCTATAAACCAATCAAAAATCCATTTTTCAAGTTCTCAGTTTGGACATTTATTGCTTAAACTAAAAATAGTCCTAATTTTCTGAGATTTATTTAAATGGAGAAGATTATTTATACAGTTAGTGTCATCTTCTAGTAAAAGTCACTTAGGTTTCAAAAGTCAAAGTATACGGTTAATATTTTAAATTGGTTTTTTTTGTAGTCCATATTAAATAACCTTTTAAAATTAAAATCAAAGATTTTGTTGCAGTAAGACAAGAATCATCACTCTTGACTGGCCTTCACACACACCAGATGTTGGATGCTCTTCTTGCAGCTGGCTCAAAGTTCACAAGTGACATGTCGCAGCCCCCTGTCTCGTAGAGCGTAGAACTGAACTTACCTATTAAAGAAAAGGTCAAAGGCAGGTCAAAATTTCATCATCTTTCACCCCACTGGCACTAGTTTCTATTTATTAACTTACTACTGAGATCAATTTAGATATCTAAATTTACATCAGTGTCAGAACATAAAATGTGATTATACATTAACATACACATTAACATGTCACCAGTGCAGACAGCACATCAGCTACTCAGTCCTTTTTCATACCATTTTACATGACATATATACATTAAACTGCAGTACTGAACTGAATTTTAAGAGTTTGTATTTAGGAGATGTCACCATTAACACAACAGAAGCACAATGTAACCCTTTTTCCCCCCTTAGAGAACAGGCAGGCAAACAACTTGCAATGACCAGCTTCTTCAGTTCTTCCCTCCCCCCCAAGCAGAACAATGAGTAAATCATTCACTATCAGCATTTAAGAACCAAACAAAATTCTCATGGGGAGGCACATGTCTATTTGAAAAGAAACACAAAGCGTGAAATAAGTGGCCATAGACACTTCATAAGTTATACTTCTAGAAAAACTAAAAAAAGGAATGGCAGCCAGAAATTTATTCTACAAGCCAGAAGCAAACACTTCAGTGTAAGAACAGAAGACTGCAAACTAACTTCTCAGATAAACCACTTGGAGTTACCGGAACTCCATTAACCATCATTTCCTAAAGCTGTTATTAAAAACTTCTTGAATGAACAATACCAATCTATTCCTAAACATATAATTAACAAAAAAGTAGCCAGAGATTGTACCTGGAATGATAAATGACTTTACTCACAATATGATGTTTTTACAGTGCCCCTCTCCCACAATAGTCTGATCAGAGAGATAAGCATTGTAATTTCCCCTGAAGGTCACGTTCAATATATTTCAGCTCCGAATGCAGGAAGCTGATTTTGAAATTGTGTTCTCAATACGAAGTGTTTTGCCAACTTCTCCGTCTCTTCTAGCTCAAAACCCTTCTTAAGCTATCATCCAAAGCATGCCATATTTTAAAGTCTGCTTATACAAAACAAAAAAAATCCCACTCTGGAGCATCTGAAGCAAAAGCTGAGTACACCTCTTGGCTGCATGTCTTGCAGCTCTTTCTCCTTCTGTTGATACAGGATAACAAGCGGTCCCAGGAGAAATATCTAACAAAATCAGAGCTTCCAAACTTTCCCCTTTCTGTAAGAACATAACCTGCTTCTGACACAGTGTTTTTTGATATATTTAAAAAAAAAAAACAAAAAAAAAAAACCAAAAAAAAACCACAACAAACCACCACACTATGATCCTGCTCCAGCTTCTTTTCAGACCCACAGACAATTAAGTTCAATTTAGAAGCATTTCAAAGCAAGAAAGTTGAAGTCCTCAAAACAGATGATTTAAACCAGTGAAACTAAGGAGAAACATTGGTATACTGAAAATATCTTCATAAAGCTTCCAACCCTCAGAGGGGGCACTTCAGACCAACTAGACAGATACTGCAGCCATGCTAAAACCAACCATTCTGACGAGACAGCTACATAGCTCAGGAGTCACATACAGCCTGCGTCAGAGCTCAGTAACACAACAGCGCTCTCTCAATATTTAATTACATCTGCTATCAGCAGATAGCAGGAAATACAAGTAGAAAGTTCACCTGTTAGAGTTTTCTCAATAGGTAAGAATTTAATGAAGTGTTTGAGTTAAATATCCTCTGGTTTTAATGCAGAGTGTAGCAAACAGTTGTTACTGAAGTTTAAAATTTAAACTAGTGCAAGACATGAGGAATCTTCCTCCTCAAAACTAATTAATAACCTCAGTTACACAGGACTATTTCTCAACTGCATCAGTAAAAAGAAAAAGTCAACAGCAGACAGGAAGGTATTAGATAACACGCTTGAGGTTCTAGTCAGGACAAAATCATGCATAACTTATTACAGAAAAATCTGTGCAACCCGTCCTTAACAGAGACAAGTGAGTTTGGGTTAAATTCTTAACGTTTTTGCAGTAATCAATTGAGAGCCTGGAAATTAAACTTTATGATTTTTCAGTTAATGACATTCTAGTCACAGAAATTAGAATATACTACTTGTAAGATATAACTTCCCATTCTCTTCAGCTGAGATAATACATCAGATACAGTATATTTGTTTCAAAAATAACAGACAAACAGCAGCAGCAAACAGAGAAAACACTAAAATCCGATTGTTTACACACAAACTACAAAACAGACTCAGGTTTTGCCATACTTGCAATTCACCCCCCCCTACTTATTTATATAGACTTCCTATTGATAGTTGTTAAGAAAAGCATGGCTTCTCAATAAAAGGAAGGAGCCTCCTTGCCCCCCCCCCAGGTTTTGGGGTTTGTTTTGTTTTGTTTTTTTCTTTTTCAGATCAAAAGCCTCTCCAGAAAAGCCTGAATGCATCCAAAGTAGAAAAGATTTCAGGACTATTCAGTGCTGTTGAGGATGCAAACCCTAAAGCGTGACTGGAGATTCTACAGCTGAGCCCCAAAGTCCCATCAATTAAATACTTTTTAAACTATGTGAGTCCTCAGAGCAATCTCAAACTCTAATGAAGGATCCCAACGCTCACAAGGTTCAATTATATATGGATATACCTAGCAGTTTTAGTTACCCTAGTAATTTTCTCTCCCTCCCATTCCTAACTCACCACAGCATCACACTGAAGCAGCTTAAGGAAGAAAAAACTTCCTTAGGGAAGTCCTTTCTCTAGGGACTGTACTTCTATCACATCGTGAACAAATGGCAGACTCAAAAGTTTATTTTTCAAATCAAGTGATTTAGCCACTAGCATGTTTGTCCACTAAACAGAAATGCTTGTAACTTCTTCCCCTGCTCTGCTCAAAGGGAGAGCTGGGAGTTCTTAGCAAATTTAACTCACCCAAACAATATTCTATCTACATGAGGCTATAAAAATAACAAATCCACGCCACTGATACTGAGGCACACAAATCATGTTTGTTCTGACATGAAGAGAGGAAAAGATGAACACACTTTCTTTGAAACAAGTTTCCTTGTTTCAAAAGACAAAATATCACCAAGTCCAGACACGACCACGTAACAGTTCACACTGTACACACCGGTGTTCCCACAGTTACAGGACTCAATGAAAGCAACAGGCTGAGGAGCTTACACAGATGAAACCTGGACAACTTCAGTGGCTTAGGGATGCTCTGACTGTTTCCTCAGACAAGTTATTTCCCAGTTTTCCATCTAATAAATACTACTTTGTTTTAAACCTCTCATAAACCAGTTCTGAAAACTGCTAACACTTTTTGACATGTTGAAGCCTATGTAGATCATTACGATATATTCATCTACTACTTATGACAATATCTTTTTTAAATCCTAGTCAGCAAAACCAATAAAGCCATGTCCTGTACCATGCAAGGAGCTGTTATTTCCAAAGGGCAAAATTTTACCTTCAATTTAAGTTTTAAGTTAGAACACTTTAAAGCCGTTCATTTTTTATTTCTATATCAAGTCTGTCAAAAAACTAACTTACCTATATCTAATTACACAGACTACAACAGGGATATTTTCAATAGGAACAATGGAAAGCGAATATTTATTTTCTACTTGTACCTTTGAAAATACCCCCCCATCCATCCTAAAATAAATTAAGTCTACTTATCATAAAAAGGTATTGAGGAACTAATTCAAAATTGGTTTTAATCAACTAAGTGATCACTGTATATATTTATATTTAAAGAAAAGTTTTGATCTTCAAGACCATCCAACTGCCTGTATAAACTAAAAAACTTAAATCTGAAAGATTATCACTCACATATAAGTGATGCAACCAGAGGTCCAACATAGCAGTGTAACTGTACCGAAAAGCTCCAGATGACAAGTTCTCTTTAATTACAAACTCAATATTCCTCAAGGAAAAAAAAAAAACAAAAACCAAAACTAGCTGAAGACAAGAGGCTGTTATTTCACCCCAGTTTCAGAACCTGGGCATCTGCTCTAGTAACTCAGTACTTGGTTTCCTAACTATTTCACAAACTGTAACACCTACAGCCTTCACTTCAGGGACTGAAAAATCCCACCCATCACCTATTAGAGGGAACAAAGGCCATCAGTACTGCCACACTGCGCTCTGAAGACACCTAAATCATGGTGTTTTCCCGCCTTCTGGATTCGTATTGTATTAATCCTGCCTATAACCATGGCATTTGGCCTGCCACCTTTCCCTTCTGTCCTGCATTCCTCCTATTATTTACTTCATGTTTACTGCTCCACATTAAGCTCCTTTTCCATCCTTTCAAGTTTCTTCTCCCTCACCCCTTGTAAAACTACAACATAATTGACAAAAATCTTTCTACTATGAACCTGGAGAACTAAAGACAATGCCTCAAGGCATCTCTTGCCTTACTCTCAGGACAATGCCCAGTTAAAGACAACTGTATAGTCACCAGACTGGATGTAGGTTAGGTATAATACAGTAAGGTCCCTCTTTCATAAAATAAGTCACCAGAATCAAGTTAGCAGACACAAATCCTTAAAGCAAACAAAAAACCAAAAACTGTGTGTCTTGTTAAGAGCTGCAGCTTGACATCAACAAATAAATGGAAAGAATGAAGAAGCAGGTACTGCACTGGTGCACAAAAAAAAAAGGAAAAAAAAGGAGCCCTAAATGTAGGGGCTTTTAATGTAAATTAACACACGCCTTGTTTGTCTTCCAGAAGAGCTGGAATATGCCAGTAGAATCTCAGAAAAAAAAAAATACTTTTATGCATTGTACAGAGATCTATAACCCCATCTACTACACTTGTCACTTATATTTCCAGTTGCTGCAAATCAGGTTCTGTTTCCATATCTTTTCCCCAGCCTCCATTTTCAATTTTTTCTGCCATGGGCAGTCACAGTGATTTCCACAGTGACAAAGAATTGGTCATATCACCTGGATTGCTTTGATCAACATCAGAATCAAAGTTAAAGAAAAAAACAACTACCCACCCCCAAACCATACCCAATCTAAAGTAAAGTAAGAGGGTCATCTTTGACTGTAAAGTATCCTGGGACAACAGAGCAAAACCAAGAGCCTTACACTTAAGGGAAACAGAGCAATAGTGTTACCTCATCCATGACTGAGGATAAAAAAGCCTCTAACCAACCAAAAAACCCACAACAAACCATGTACCAGTTATAAGGAGAGATATTCTCCCTCCTTGTCAAGCCTGATAGCGGAACATGTCCATGTGAAAGCTTGGACCATTTTGCCAACTATTTAACAAAACATTGTACTTGTCACACAAAGCCCGCTACACAGGCTAGAAAATTATTTTCCTAAAAATAATAACAGATTTTGCCTATAATAGCTGCTTTCCCACATGGAAGGTTTCTAAACAGATGCTCAGAGCTTCCAATCAGGAATAAACCCCTTATTATATATCAGCTCTTTAACTGAGCAGATCATAGAAGTTTTGTGCCTCCCAAAGACAATGTGCTGCCCAATATAACTGTAAGCACAGTACACACAAAATTTCAGAAGAATTTAGCTATATCAGTTTTTGAAGAATCCAATACATGCCAAGTGCAATGAATATGCCTGAATGCAATACTGAATTTCTCAAAAGATCCACTTTGACTTCTACTACAACGTAGTAGTATAAGTTCTTAAATAATTCGGACTTAAGTAGATCATGTATTAAATAATGAATTCTATAAAACTTGACTGTATTATGTGGGTAAGATGAACCAAAGCCTTCAAATACAATAGTGGTGGCTTTAAGCATAAATGTCAACATTAACCTTGGATAGAGACAACAAGTATCCCTGAATTTCAGGGTTATATTCCAATACTTTTTCCAACAAGAAATAGAAGAGTCCAAATTAAACAAAGAAACCCGTAGTTTCATGTGACAAGCTTTCACAGTTCAGAGACACATGCAAGTGTTGACAAACAAGTCTCGATTTTTCTATCTAGAAACTAGTAGAGCCACAGACTCTAAAATGAAAATTATCAGATAAGTAGGTTGTGTGTATTTAGCACAACCATAGTTAAATTTTATAAAACACCTCAGAGAATGTCAAGGTTGTTTTCAGTTTTGCTTATATTAATTTTTTCCTTATATTGCAGCTAGATGGTGCAGAAGGATGGCAACTTGTTAGCCAAACTCATACATAAAAGGGGTACCACAGCCTGGCAACTCTCGAAATCTTCCCCACTACTGGAATAAGATGACCATTTATCTTTAGCACTAGGTTACAGTAAGGTCTGAAGTAAGTGCTTTGTCAGTGTTCTGAGCTAACCGGTACTGTGTGTTAGTACTGCTAACTGCTTAAAATATCAACACTGCTAACTGCGAGTTCTAAAGATGCCCATTTTAATAACTTGAGGAAGAATTCTATATTAAAGCTGAAGTCAGAAGTAATTCAGGCCAGGAATTTCTCCACATCTGCCCCTGCATTACTGTGTCACAGGAGATCAGTCACTTATGACCATCTTAACTTCCTTCTCCCTGGCAATTTCATCAGCTGCATAGAAGTTAATAGTTAGGAATACTACATCAAATGGACCATGAAGAACTAAGAGGTACTATAAAGCTCCAGGATACTAAGAAAGAGTCCGGATTTTCTTCCATAAATTAAAAGCGTACATGAAAAGTAAAGCACTCTAAAAAATAAATCTTCATGTAAATGAAACAGCTGCTAAGCAAGACTCATCTAAAAAAGTAAGATCAAGAATTCCTAGGGGCCGCAACAAATATTTTCTTCAAGAACCAGAAGGTCCTCAAAGTTGGCATCAACCTCTGCCCAACCACCTGTGACAACGCAAGAAAACTTATGCATTATACGTGTTACATTGTTCAAGTCATGAAAGCTCTCACACCATCACTACTTGTATCAATACATCCTCAGAGTGTTTCCCATCATGCAATTGTTAGAGAAAGTGCCTGGAAAGGTGACTGTGAAAGGCAAGGAATTTGAGCAATATGGCCTTCTACGCAATGCACCTACAAGATTCAGAAACAAAGCTAAGGTTAGCTGATTTTCACCGCATTATTACCGATACATCTGCCGTATTAAAACTTCCATGTCACCAAGGTTACATAAGGCCTGCATACCAAGTTCATCGTGCAAACTGCTACCGCCTACAGCAGATGCAGTGGCATGTGATGCTTCTAAGTGGACACTCCCGTTTCTCACCAGCAAGGAGGCGCTAGCGCCGAGCACAGCTGCCTGGGAAGGGGAGCAGGACTGCTCTCTGACCTGGGAGGAGGGCTGCTGGCCTTGCTGACCATCTTGAAGGCTACGAGAAAACACGCATTGGGGACACATTACCAGGAAGAAGAGAAAAATAGCTAGAAGTGAAGTAAAACAAGACTTTTTTGTTTAAAGAGGAAAATTTTTAAAAGGATAGCATTAAGAAGCCACTTACTAGGGTTAAGGTAACCCGTGGGTTCTGTATAACAGAATATGTGTACACTAGTTGCATCGGTAATCTGGAGATACAGCTCCTGTCCTACTATCTAGAAGTAGTATTTCTTTCTAATATCTCCTAAGTCACCCTCAAGTGTATTCTCGTAAATCTTAATTTGTGGGTGCAAAAGCAAATTGCTGGTGGTTAGTCTAACTGCAGACCAACGCGAGGTGTCACGTACATACAGTAGTGACTATTCCAGTCTTCTCATGATAGTTAGGGTTCTCTTTGCTCACTGGCATATGAATTTATCAACTGTTTAGTTAGCCATCTGGGGTTTTTTTGGACACAATAACATCACCTTTCTTGCCATTAATCTGCACTCTAACCACAAAATGTCTTTAGGCTTTGTTAGTAGCCCTATGCTACCACAGAACTTGTAGATAACTGTAGTTAAACATTTGGATTCAGAACTTTTTTGAAGTTATTAAGAATGCTTTAACAAATTATCAATTGCCAAAAGTTTTAAGTCTATTTTGAAGTTATTTTGACAGTACAGCAAAAACTTTATTACTACCAAAGAAAATCTTCTATACCCAGATACATACCTGCTTCAAAACACAGGTTTTAAAAATCAATTTGGGCTTCAGAAAAATTTGTACACTTACAGTCATATGAGTAGACAATGCACGAAAATGTTAGTTCTCCTCTTCACAACCTTCTCATTTAAAAACTATTTTATAAAGCTGTTTAACAAAGTTAGATATTCTTTAATACCTTAATATTAAACATGGCAAAGAGTCAGAATACATGACATTTACACTTGTACATCACATCTACTTTGCAAGATTAGTGTTTTTATTATGCTTCATTTTGTGCATTTAAAGTTACATGTCAGACGTGACAAAATTAAGAAAAAAATTTTTAGACATAAAAATTTAAATTTTGAAGACTACAGAAAGTATCTTAAAGATTGTTTTTCAAAAGAGTGTTTATCACCTGTTGCTTTTAACATCTCACTGTTTACAGTGTGATGCTACAGATGGCAAGTGAGGCAATTGAAAAAGCAAGACCTTACTAAGAGCTGAGGGGTTATACCTGACGTACTTGCTTTTAGCAATATTTTCTAGAACATCTACTTTTCAGTGCTTTTGTTAGAGCACCACTGGAAAACAAAATATGGATATGAAAACAAAATATGGCTATAAGAATAGGTGTTAGGAAAAGCTCATGCAAAACAAAGCAGACATGCACACAGCTCATGAGGTAAAAAACTGCAGCTCATTATTTATA